GGTCAGACTGCACACGGAAGACATTTCGGAGCGATTAGCTGTCGCGCCTGTGCCGCGTTTTTCAGGTTAGTACGTTTTAGAAAAAACTAATCATCAAAAAAAAAAAGATTTAGATTGGTAAATTTTTGGAGAAGATTCTGAATAATAACATTTAAAACTATAATCAGAAAAATCGCTACGAAAATATTTATTTGAAATTTTAGACGTGCCGGAAAACGAAGTTCCAAATCTCAGGATATAGTTTGCTCGAAAGGAAATTGCACAACTGCTGAGGATGGAACGTAAGTGGCTATATTTGAATTTTAAAATTGAGTTAAAATTTCAGATTTTACTGCAAAGCTTGTCGGCTTAAAAAATGTCATGAAGTTGGAATGGATTCTAGCAGTGAGTTTTTTTCAATTTAAATTTTTTTCCACAAATAGTTCTAAACCTTTTTGAGAGAATGAAATCCTCCGTTTCCAGAATTCCAAAATGATCGAGATCTCATATGCAACTGCTCCCAAATTTCCATACCGTCCAAACTGTCATCTCCTCAAAGCCTCGCGAATTTCCTAGGACGCCCTGAGATGATTTTGCCTTGCGAACCGGAAAACGCTTCAACCTCAAAAGTTATCATCGACTTGAGTTTTCTTATCAATAAGGCGGTCGATGTGTTTAATGTAAGAATACAAGTTATTCCCAAACGGAACTGATAATATAATTTCAGGATTCTGTATATCTCCCATCGCCATGTAACTTTGGGAACAGTCTAGAAAAGATGGTGTGGGCACTTGAAGACTTGAATGCAATGCGATTCGACACCAAAGTAGAGTTTCAGACGAAAATTGGGCAACACGAGCTGTTCAGTTTTTGGGAAGGATCATTCATTAAAACTGTGAAATGGTTCTCAAAGTTTCCAGAGTTTATGGAACTGCCAATGCATGTTAAAGTGAGTTATAAAACACATTAAGTGCCTTTCCAAAGAAGAGGTACCCTGGGGGATATCGTACCGGTTCATGGCGGTTCCGTACTCTGGAGGTACCATACCCTGGAGGTACTTTAACCTGGAGGAACCGAATCAATATGGTATCAGTATCCTTGACGTACCATACATTCGAGATACCGTATCCTCGAGATAACGTACCATTGAGATGATGTACCCTGGAGGTACTCTACCCTTGAGGAATTGAAACCTAAAGGTACCGAATTGAAACCTAAAGGTACTTAGATACTGTACCCTGGAGCTACCTTGGAGCTACCGTACCCTGCGTATATTTTTCGGTCCGGTACTTTACTCAAAATTGACTTCAACATTTGCTATTTTTCCACTAAAATGGTTATTTTCCATTAAAAAAAGATCAAAATGGTTTTTTTAATTACCAAAATGGTTTTTTTTAGTTAGAGATTGTGAAATCTTCTTGGCTCATTTGGATTCGTTTGGACCAACAAGCACATACTGCAACCTTCGAAGAAAACAATTCCTGGGAGATGATTTGTCTATGAGTGGAGAAGGAAGATGTATGAATTTGAAGAGTGTGGAAATTGATTTAGGTTTCATCACAAAATACTCAAATGATCAAATACAAGCGTATGTTTCTTGATAATTTTTTTTGGCAGCAATTTTTGAGAATTTCCAGATTCCTGAACCCGGATAAATTCAAACTATGGAAGCTGTCCATCGATGAACTATTGAAACTGAATCCCACGAACGTTGAGCTCAATTTCATGCTCATCCAGTTGTGTCTCCAACATGCGGAGAGAAAATTTCCCGGAGAGATCCGAGCGGCGATTGGGAAGCTTCTGGAAATCCAAGCTAACAATTTGCACGACCACTATGTGAAAACTATGAAGACACCGAACTACTCAGGAAGACTCACAAAAATGATGAAAATTTTACAAATTATTGAGGAAGACATTCGAAATCGAAGAGAAGTAGCTCAGCTTGTCAAATTTTTTGATGTTTTTTTCATCGATTTTTCACATCCTGAAATGTTTGAAATTTTCTAGACTTATTTCTGGAACATAATAATCTTGATCTCATGTAATTATCTCATAATGTATCTCATCGAAAATAATAAACTGGTTCGTACATTTCCTATAGAAAGCGGTCAACTTGGAGTCCGCTAAACAGAATTCCAGAAATTAAAAAATTCGAAAAAAATTCAGATTTTTGAACAATTCAAACAATTTAATGATTCCAATACTTTCAAAGATTTGTACAAAAAATGTAGGATTTCAATATTCAGTAAGATAAACATTTTCACAGAATATTGGCACAACCTGATAACTTTTTGACCGATACTGAAGCTCAAGGACTGTCTTACTTGAAAAGCGTTATTGGTTTTCGTGTTCTTTTTTATCTTTTTCTCTGACTACTTTCGTATTATGTAAAATTTCACAAATTTTGCATTTATACCTAAAAATTCCAAAAGTTGAAAAAAAAAATTAAAATGGGAAGGAAACTCACGATTCTTCAAATATTTTGCAGTTCTCCTTGTCACATTTTTTCTGTTTCAACCAGTTTCCCGACCGCCGGAAAAATGCGGCACAGGCGCGACAGCTCAAAACTCCAAAGTGTTTTCCGAATGCTGGTTGATCGCAAACTTCACATAATCCGGAGATATGGAGGGCGGGGGGCATTTAAGAATTTTTGTAGTAAAAAATATAGAAAATACACGAAAAAATTTTCCTACGAAAAAGAGGGATAAAGTTTTGCGGGAAACCCCAGACGCTAAAGTAATAGAGAGGAGAAATGAATGAGTCGCAGGTAGACAAAGAAAAAGTACATAAAGGCAAACATATGACAAGGTGAGTGAGAGAGAGAGAGGGAGATACATTTACACCAAATCAAACATCTCCGGATGAGAATACTCGACTTTATACAAATCAAAAACATTAGCCAGGGAATTCTTCTCTATACGATCTCTCAATTCCACTTCAATCATCCTGTTGATCTTCATCATTTGTGCAATTCGTCCAGAATAATTTGTCTTTCTTATCTTGTTCGAATAGTAGGCGTGCAAGTTGTCAGCTAGAATTCCTAGTAGACTTTCGGTGGCTTCTAGAACGTTCCCTTGGTGTTTTTTGCCGGCGTTATGAAGACAGAGTTGGAGAAGCATGTAGTTGAGTTCAAAACTGGTTGGGTTACATATCATGACCTCATCTATGATTCGATTCCATTTCAGACCGAATTCGCGGTTCATAAAACTGAAGTTTTCAATTTATAGTTTTAGAAGAACTGACTATTTTCTAAAAGTAAGGTTCTAAAGGAGGGAAGGTCGTCGGAATTTAAAAAGGTCAGTTGAGTGTAACAAGGCTATCGGAGACACACCTCTCAATCTGTTCTGCCGAATAATTCGTGCACCATCTCAAATCCATTTTGATCTCCTCTATTTTCAGTTTTGCCCCCCTTGTACAAATTTGGATCCCATTGTCCAATCTCCCATTTAGCCGATTATACTCAGCCGTCTCCGCCAACGCATCTAATCTCATCCATATGGTCCATGCGGATTTTAGAATGTCCATCTAGAATTGAAGTTTGTTTTCCTCAGCCAAGATTCCAGATTTCACCTTTACCTCCACATTAAGCTGTTGGAGTTCCGGAAACTCGGCGAGCCAGTGAGCAGCTTCAAGGAACGTGTACTCATAGAAAAGGAAAGTTTCAGTTTTACCAATAACTTCGCTTAATGAAAGCGGGTGGTTCATTTTCTTGGATTTCATAGCATCCATTGCATACGTGACCCTTTCCAGGCTAGATTTCATTTCATACGGTCCTAGATAAGAAGGATCCTGTTGAAAAATGTGTGTCGCTTTTTCTAGAAGATAGCTGACATCTATAACTGTTTTGGTGCTTGATGCTCGGTCCGGCTCAAAACACAGAATTGATTCTGGGCGTCCCAAAAAGTTGGCAAGACTTTGTGGTGTTGCAATCTTGCTCCGTTCGCAATATGAGTTGGATATAGGATCTCGATTCTTTTGGAATTCTGAAAACTCATGGTTATATAGTTCCAGAATTTAACATTTCACTTGTGACGTCCATTCCAACTGTCAGGCATTTTTTGAGTCGACATATTTTGCACATATTCTTTCTGAAAAAAAATCATATAACAATTTTTCAAGTTAGTCTCACCCAAAAACTGGACACTTTTTCTCTAAACAAGATGGCTTCCTGGTCCAGCTGACTGCTCTTCTAAAAAACGCGGCACAGGCGCGACAGCTCAACACTCCAAAATGATGGCCAAAAGCTGGTTGGTCGCAAATTTGACATAGTCCGGAGATATGAAGGGCGGGAGGCATTTTGAATGGTAGAAATGAAGCTAAAGTGGATAGTTAGAGAACGTTGTGAAATTTTACATAATACGAAAGTTGCTGAGTCAGAGAAAAAGATAAAAAAGAACACGAAAACCAATAACGCTTTTCAAGTAAGGCAGTCCTTGAGCTTCAGTATCGGTCAAAAAGTTATCAGGTTGTGCCAATATTCTGTGAAATGTTTATCTTACTGAATATTGAAATCCTACATTTTTTGTACAAATCTTTGAAAATATTGGAATCATTAAATTGTTTGAATTGTTCAAAAATCTGAATTTTTTTCGAATTTTTGAATTTCTGGAATTCTGTTTTTTGACTCCAAGTTGACCGCTTTCTATAGGAAATGTACGAACCAGTTTATTATTTTCGATGAGATACATTATGAGATAATTACATGAGATCAAGATTATTATGTTCCAGAAATAAGTCTAGAAAATTTCAAACATTTCAGGATGTGAAAAATCGATGAAAAAAACATCAAAAAATTTGACAAGCTGAGCTACTTCTCTTCGATTTCGAATGTCTTCCTCAATAATTTGTAAAATTTTCATCATTTTTGTGAGTCTTCCTGAGTAGTTCGGTGTCTTCATAGTTTTCACATAGTGGTCGTGCAAATTGTTAGCTTGGATTTCCAGAAGCTTCCCAATCGCCGCTCGGATCTCTCCGGGAAATTTTCTCTCCGCATGTTGGAGACACAACTGGATGAGCATGAAATTGAGCTCAACGTTCGTGGGATTCAGTTTCAATAGTTCATCGATGGACAGCTTCCATAGTTTGAATTTATCCGGGTTCAGGAATCTGGAAATTCTCAAAAATTGCTGCCAAAAAAAATTATCAAGAAACATACGCTTGTATTTGATCATTTGAGTATTTTGTGATGAAACCTAAATCAATTTCCACACTCTTCAAATTCATACATCTTCCTTCTCCACTCATAGACAAATCATCTCCCAGGAATTGTTTTCTTCGAAGGTTTGCAGTATGTGCTTGTTGGTCCAAACGAATCCAAATGAGCCAAGAAGATTTCACAATCTCTAACTAAAAAAAACCATTTTGGTAATTAAAAAAACCATTTTGATCTTTTTTTAATGGAAAATAACCATTTTAGTGGAAAAATAGCAAATGTTGAAGTCAATTTTGAGTAAAGTACCGGACCGAAAAATATACGCAGGGTACGGTAGCTCCAAGGTAGCTCCAGGGTACAGTATCTAAGTACCTTTAGGTTTCAATTCGGTACCTTTAGGTTTCAATTCCTCAAGGGTAGAGTACCTCCAGGGTACATCATCTCAATGGTACGTTATCTCGAGGATACGGTATCTCGAATGTATGGTACGTCAAGGATACTGATACCATATTGATTCGGTTCCTCCAGGTTAAAGTACCTCCAGGGTATGGTACCTCCAGAGTACGGAACCGCCATGAACCGGTACGATATCCCCCAGGGTACCTCTTCTTTGGAAAGGCACTTAATGTGTTTTATAACTCACTTTAACATGCATTGGCAGTTCCATAAACTCTGGAAACTTTGAGAACCATTTCACAGTTTTAATGAATGATCCTTCCCAAAAACTGAACAGCTCGTGTTGCCCAATTTTCGTCTGAAACTCTACTTTGGTGTCGAATCGCATTGCATTCAAGTCTTCAAGTGCACACACCATCTTTTCTAGACTGTTCCCAAAGTTACATGGCGATGGGAGATATACAGAATCCTGAAATTATATTATCAGTTCCGTTTGGGAATAACTTGTATTCTTACATTAAACACATCGACCGCCTTATTGATAAGAAAACTCAAGTCGATGATAACTTTTGAGGTTGAAGCGTTTTCCGGTTCGCAAGGCAAAATCATCTCAGGGCGTCCTAGGAAATTCGCGAGGCTTTGAGGAGATGACAGTTTGGACGGTATGGAAATTTGGGAGCAGTTGGATATGAGATCTCGATCATTTTGGAATTCTGGAAACGGAGGATTTCATTCTCTCAAAAAGGTTTAGAACTATTTGTGGAAAAAAATTTAAATTGAAAAAAAACTCACTGCTAGAATCCATTCCAACTTCATGACATTTTTTAAGCCGACAAGCTTTGCAGTAAAATCTGAAATTTTAACTCAATTTTAAAATTCAAATATAGCCACTTACGTTCCATCCTCAGCAGTTGTGCAATTTCCTTTCGAGCAAACTATATCCTGAGATTTGGAACTTCGTTTTCCGGCACGTCTAAAATTTCAAATAAATATTTTCGAGCGATTTTTCTGATTATAGTTTTAAATGTTATTATTCAGAATCTTCTCCAAAAATTTACCAATCTAAATCTTTTTTTTTTTGATGATTAGTTTTTTCTAAAACGTACTAACCTGAAAAACGCGGCACAGGCGCGACAGCTAATCGCTCCGAAATGTCTTCCGTGTGCAGTCTGACCGCACACTTCACATGGGCCAGTTATACATAAAGCAGGTGGCATACTTTAAGACCAAAAAAATTTTTTTTTGGAAAATCTTTAAAAAATAAAATTTAAATCCTGAAAACGATGACACGAGAAAGATGGAAAGCGATAATATGGGAAAGAGAGGCAAAATTGAAAAGAGAGAGTAGCAAGAAGGAAAGAAAACACAATATAGAATGGAGAGACGCAGACGGTGAAAGGAAGTGGAGGACAAACAGATGAGAGACTCGTGTGGGGAGAAAAGAAGGTTCAATGGAACATTTTTCGAATTAGTGGGGAGAGGAGAATAGGAAAAATTGATTGATACCAGAAAAAAGATATAAAGTGATTGCTATCAGAAAACAAAGATATAAAACATAGTTTTTAAAAGCAAAATGTTTGTTGGTCAAGGGTCCAGAAGCAGTGTCCAAGACCACAGGTTTTTTTGAGAAATGCTAAATTTCTGAATCTGAAAAAATGTTTTTTGAAAAATCTATCTCACCAGGGGTACACAGAATGGAATCAACATTCAGAAAACCGAAATTCTGATTTGAAATGTCTGAGATTTCGAGATTCCAATTTTTGAAAATTTCAGATCACAAATTCACGAAATATTCAATTCCACTCATCCCTATCTCTCGCCCATGAAATCATAAGATCAGAAGCTGAATCCCAAAAACACAGCAAAATACGAATCTCGTCTGCGCCTCTCCTCTCTCGCTTCTTTCACAATTCATTTTCGTATTTTGTCTTCCCTTCACTCGCCTATTTCTCCACTCTCTTTCTCAACTCCACCTGATGCAATGTCCAAGGAATATAAATACTCCACAATTTCTCAACCAGACTTCAGTTTTTCTTGACAATTCTAAATAAGGAAAAATGATATTCATCCTTGTCCTACTTTCCACTCTTCTCTTAATTTACCTATTTCATTTGTTGTACTGGAAGAGAAGGAATTTGCCACCCGGGCCCACGCCACTTCCGAAATTCGGCAATTGGCTATCCATGGTTTTTCCTTTGTCAGGATATGAGTGCTTCAGAAGATGGACCAAGAAATATGGAGATGTTTACACTTTCTGGCTAGGTTGTTAATTTTTGACAGTTTTTCCCAAGAAAATGACATTGGGATATAAAATAGTTCTTCAAAAAATATAACGCCCAGCATCCGAGGGTACTCCAAGTTTTTGAGGCTTGTTGATTCGGAATGCAACTTTAGAACTTCGAATTAGGCGTCATTTTTCAAGTAACCTCCAAGACCCTATGTGGCGTTTGAACCAATGTACTCTAAGAAGCCTCGGATACTGAGCAAAAATATGAAGACCCTGAAAAAAAAGATCCGCTATTAGTCAGTGGACCTCTATTTTGATCCACATACCTTTTTATCATCGGAGAGCCTTTATAGGCTGATGTGAGGGTCCTTTTTAGCCAAAATTGAAGTCAATTTAAAAACAATTAATTTCGAATAACCTCTAATACGCAAAGAACCGTTTTTTAGACAACATTTTTCAGAATCCGAACCCTATATCATCATTGGATCCTATGAACGAATGAAAGAGACCTTCATCCGAGACGGTGACACTTATGTGAACAAGAAATTCAACGAAGTCATTGCAAGTTTCCGCGACGGACAATACGGAGTCGTCGACACAAATGGAGAGTTCTGGAGCACTCACCGGAGATTCACCCTTTCGAATTTCCGAGATCTAGGCTTTGGAAAAGACCTAATGCAACAAAAAATCCTTATCGAAGTTCAAGAAATCATTCGGAAGTTTGACGAAAACGTTGGAGAGGAGCAAAATGTGCCAAAAGTATTCAATAAAGCAGTGGCTAATGTTATCAACCAACTCATTTTCGGCAATCGATTTGATGATGAGAAGGAGAAGGAGTTTCAGAAACTGATGGATTTGTTGGAATATCAGCAGAAGGCGTTCACAAGCTGGAAGATCATTGTGGAGTGTGTGGTTCCGTTTTTGAGTCGGTTTATGCCGAAACCAACTGTTGCCGATTTGTAAGTTAAGATAAGAAAATGGCAACTAGCTTTCAATTCCAGAATTGAAGAGTATAAAACATCGTTCTATGGGTTTTTCAACCGCCAAATCGAAGAGCACCGCTTAAAAATTGATTTTGACTCCGAGGAGAACGAATCCTACGCAGAATCTTATCTCAAAGAGCAAAGGAAACGAGAAGCGGATGGAGATAAGGAAACATTCAGTACCCAACAACTATCCAATATGTGTATGGATTTATGGTTGGCCGGATTAGGAACCACTACTCTAACCCTGGGATGGTCCATGGCCTATGTGATGAACACTCCTGGGGTACAAGAAAAGATGCATGAAGAGTTGGACAGAGTAATTGGAAGTGATAGACTTATCAGTACAAGTGATAAGAATGACCTTCCATACATGCAAGCGGTGATCAACGAGTGCCAGCGATGTGCAAATATTGTTCCAATCAATTTGTTCCATGAGACTACAAGGGATACTGTGATAGCAGGGTACCCAATTGAAAAGGGAACAGGAGTCATTGCTCAGATTAGTACAGTGATGCTAGACGAGACAATCTTCCCGGATCCATATAAATTCAATCCAGACAGATTTATCGATGAGCATGGGAAACTGAAAAAGGTCGAGGAGCTTTGCCCATTCTCGGTTGGCAAGCGACAATGTCTAGGGGAAGGGCTCGCCAGGATGGAGCTCTTTTTGATGCTCGCCAACTTTTTCCACAGATACGAGGTAATTCGATAATGAAGAAAATTGAACTATCAAAAAAATTGTTTCAGATCTCGCCATCCAGTACTGGACCTCCTTCTATTGATAAGACCCAAGCTTTGAGAGTGACACCAAGAGAGTTTGATGCGGTTTTGACCAAAAGGCATTGAAGATGATATTTATTTTGTTTTAGAGAATCTGATTTGAATCTCATGTACATGTGTAATGCAATAAAGATCCACCTGTCCAATACACTGAATTTTTGATTTCTGAAATTTTATAATTCAGATTTCCTCAGACCCACACAATATGCATTTTTCACTTCAATGAACGCTGGAGGAGGGACATGAGAAAGTATTAGTTAAATTATTGTGTTAAAATGAAGATTTTGAGGAATTGAGCTTAAATGACTCTCCCCGCTCCCCCCGCCGAGCTACGCATATCGAAAATATATGTAAACTAATAAAATGTTTAGGATTTTATGAAAAACATTTTATTAGTTTAAAAATTTTTGATATTACTCACAGGAACCAAGATAATTAGACTCAAAGAGCGAGTATAATGTCAGTTACAACGCTTGACCGATGCGTTCATAAAGGCTCTACTTTTAAACTCGATTATTTTCCTTTCTGCCATAGATATCTAAACTTCGCAAACTAATAAAATATTGAAAATTTTATAGAAATTCTTTTATCTGTTAACACATTTTTGATATCTTTTACATGAACCAAGATAATTAAACTCAAAGTGAAAGTATAATGGCAGGTGCTGCGCAGCAAAACAACGATTGACGGCCGAGGCGTGCATAAATGCTCTACTTTAAGCTCGATTATCTTGGTTCCTATATGAGATATCTGAAATATGTCAACTGGTAAAATGTTTAAAATTTTGTAACAAAACATTTTTTGTTGACACATATTTGATAGCTCTTATGGGAATAGAGATAATTGAGCTCAAAGTACAAATATGGGGTGCGATATTTGAACCAATGTAAATTTTCCAAGCCAGAACGTCCCTAACTTCCAAACCAGAATCTCCTATTTCTTACGACCTCATAAACTATTTCGTAATCCGCCGACCACCTAGTTTGTCCTCCAATTTCCCCTTGAACACACTAAATCAACAGATCTCCCCTCCGCCCTGGTGTACTTTTGATACTCATTTTCCTCTCTAACCACCTGCGTCTCTCTCCCTTTTACTATTTCAATTCGTCACTTCTTTTTCTTCTCCTCAACATATGATTTTTCCATCGATTTTCCGTTTGCCGCTTTGAAAATGGAGATTGGCCGTCGTGTGAGCATTTGCAAAGTTTGTGGGCAATTAGCAAATGGAAATCATTTTGGAGTGATTAGTTGTAGAGCATGTGCGGCGTTTTTCAGGTGAGAATTCGAAAAAAAATTCAATGGAAGCATTTTTCAGACGTGCCAATGTTGAGAGCGACACATTTTGTGCACTCGGAAACTGTCAAATTCACAAAAATGGAAAATTCTATTGCAAAAAGTGTCGTCTACGGAAGTGTTTGGAAGTGGGGATGGATGTTAGGAGTAAGTGTTTCTCTTTAAAATTTAACAAAAAATGGAATTTCAGAATTCCAACACGATCGTGACCTCATTTCGACGTCCACTTCTTCTTCCACGGATTCCGAACCTTCTGGATCTCCGGTAACCAAAATTATCAGAGAAAGAAGGTCTCAGGGAATACCAGTCAGCTTGGCTTCATTTCTAGGACGTCCTGCTTTCATTTTGAGCTGTGAACCAGAAAGAGCATGTCGTGTGAAAACAGTGATCGATGTGACTTTTTTGGTTAGCCAGGCTATGGATGTTTTGAGAAATGGAGATAGTAGAAGATATTTCGGAAGAGATAGTCTGGAAAATATGTCACTGAAGTTCAGGGAACTCAAGAAAGCGAAGCCCAATTTGAAAGTTCTGAAAGTTTTGGGACTAAAGGAGACGATGCATTTTTGGGAGCAAGGTTTTCTGTCAACTGCCGCGTGGCTGACTCATTTCGAGGAGTTTCAGCAGTTGCCTCTAAATATCAAGGTTGGTGGGCTTGCTTGTGTGTGTCTGCTTGAAATGACTTTAGCTTTTTGAGAAATTAAGTTTCTTGTGAGACTCTCGAGCTACATGGGAAATTCTTGTTTTTTTTCATCGGGTTCAGATTTGCTCCTGCCCACGCATTCTGCATTTTTCACTTGACTGAAAGCTTTGAAAGATTAAATCAAGAATTCGAGGAGTTGAGCTCATAAGAAAGGTGCCGCGCCGCTGAGCAACGTCTTATGACCAAGACATTTATAAACGCTTTACTTTGAGCTCGATTATCTTGGTTACTGCAAGAGATAATAAAAATCTGTAAACTGTTAAAATGTTGCAAATCTTATGACAAACATTTTATCAGTTAAAGGAGGCGAGACAGCAAAAATTTCGGGGGACAGTTCGGGGGACGAAATCACGTCGCGCTTATGTAGACCATCGGTCGTCAGGCGCCTTCGCGCCCTCGTAGCTCAGCCGGTAGCGGCTCTGTACCCCTGAGCTGCCTGTCATGAGTTCAACCCCTCATGGGGGTTCTCTATGCAAAATATCAGGAAAACTTTTTTGGTGTCTGGCCTCCTTTAGGCATCTCTCACAGGAACCAATATAGTTTAGCTCAAAGAGCAAGTACGGGAATCAGCAAGTAGCGACGCGGCGTTCTTAATATTCATCCTTTAGTATCGAGAAAACCCTAAAAATCACTTTCAGATGCAAATTCTGAAAATTGCCTGGATCCTATGGGGCCGGTTGGATAAGCTGGCTCGGACTGCAGATGAGCGGCGGAAGAATAATTTTGGACAGAGTGCCTACATGATCGGAGAGGATGTGTTTTTGGATTTGAAGGAATTTGAAGTCGACATTTCATGGTGTACCAATTATAGCAAGGACCAGTTGGTTTAGTGAGTTTTTATATTTATTTTGGAAAATTCTGAGATTCTGAAATGCTGAGATTTTGAGATGATGGTATTATAAAGTTCTGAGGTTCTGAGATTCTAGGATTCTGATATCTTGAAATTCTGAGATTCTGATATCTTGAAATTCTGGGATTCTGATATCTTGAAATTCTGAAGTTCTGAAGTTTGGAAAATCTGAAAATCTGAGATTCTGAGATACCCATATTCTAAAACTCTGTGATTCTGAGATTCTGAGATTCTAAGCTTCTAAGATCCTAATGTTCTGAATATCTGCGATTCTGAGATTCTAAGATTCCGAAATTTTGAGATTCTGAAAAAAGATTCCTCGATTCCTAGAATCCCGGATTCCTGGATTCTGATATTCTGAGATTCTCTGATTTCTGAATTTCTAGGTTTCTAGGTTCATCGATTTCTATTCTCCCAAGTTCCTAACTTTCCAAATTTTCCAGCTACCTCGACTGTCACCACGATGAATATTTCAACAAAATTGTCGACCTCCTAATTGACCTAAATCCCACGGTACATTGAATTAAACTACATGCTCATTGAGCTCTGCCTCCACTATGCTGGAAAGAAACACCAAGGTGAAGTGCTGAAATTCACCGATAAACTAATGGAAGGCATTTCGAACAATCTTCACCATTATTATGAACAAGAACGAATCTCCAACTACTCGACACGTCTTGCCAAAATGATGAAAATTGATAATCTGATACGACAAAATTTGTACGAGAGGTTGGAACGACAAGAAGTGGCTAAAGTCTTTAATATTATTTCTGTACATTTCTCACATCCCGACATGTTTTGTGATAGTGGATTTTGAGCTTGTCACCTTAAAATGTGTGTTTAAAATTGATCTGAAAAATTTACTTCGCTTTAAGAAATTGCATAATAAAGGATCTCTGCGTTCAAACACTTTATACATTGAAAACACGGTTTTTTTTCCATAATACATTACTTTTTTGAATCCAAGACTTTTCTAAGAAAAATTTTGAAGAATGCCAGCCCCAGTATTCCTATCCGGACCATGCAAAATTTGTGGATTGCAAACCACTGGAAGGCATTTCGGGGTCATGAGTTGTCGCTCATGCGCTGCATTTTTCAGAAGGGCCGCTGGTTCGGAAAAAAGGAAAATTGAATGTCCTATTGGAAATTGTGAAATTTTTGGCGGTGGGAAGTGAGTTTTAGAAATAATTGCTTCTATTAAAAAACTTTTGAGTTACAGTCATGATTGAAATTGTTGCTCTGACTTAGTCTTGTGGGTCCCAAGAAGTTTGAAAGGTTTCAACCAGTCTAGGATAGCCTGGGAAAAATATGGAACCCTCAAAAACGAGGGACACGTAAAGACAATAGCCTTACAATCTCACCCTGTTGCAGATTTCAATGTAAAAGATGTAGGCTGAAAAAATGCTATGAAGCTGGTATGGACGTGAAAAGTGAGTTTTAAATTTTTGTCACTGTCAGTCACTCGTATGTAGAAGAGGGATTAAGATAACTCAAGGGTACAGTATCTTACGGATACGGTACCTCAAGGGTAGATTATCTTAGGGGTCGGAGTGCTCAAAACCCATAAAAGCTTCAAAATTGACTTTTACAGAATTCCAAAACAATCGCGACTTGATCTCCTGCTCGAGCAATTTTTCAAAACGCCAAAATTTCATAGCATCGTCCCCGCAAAGTTTATCAAATTTCCTGGGCCGACCAAGCTTCATTTTGTGCTGTGAACCCGATAAAGCTACATTCAGAAACACCGTTATAGATGTGACTTACCTCGTGAATAAGACTAATTGGATTTTTCATCAGGTTCAAATAGAGCTAGAAACTTCTTACTCACTATTTTTCAGCCACCCTCCATCAACTGCAGACCTTATCAATATCAGAATAGTCTAGAAAAACTGGCATTTAGTTTAGACGAGTTGAGGACAAAACATCCGGATCAAAAAATCATGCAATTGAGAAGACTGGGAAAAGAGGAATTGATGTATATCCTGGAGCAGTCGTTTTTAAGAGCTGTTGAATGGTTTTCGAATTTTTCAGAGTTTCAAGAACTGGAAGATTATATAAAGGTACTAGAGTTTCGAATGAACTTGAATATCAGAATAACTTTCAGCTAGAGATAATAAAAACCGCCTGGTTCGGTTGGATTCGTCTAGAAAAGCTATCTGAAACTGCCGACTATCAAAGGAAACAGATTTTCCCTGAAGACGTTCATATGTTGGGAAACGATACATGTTTGGAATTTGGGAATTTTGAGATTGACTTGAGTTGGTGCACTGATTATTCCATGGAGCAGTTGATGTTGTAAGTTATAGGGTCTATCCCATATGAGAGGTCGTAAATTGGGATAGTTGGTCATGGTGTGATCATGGGTCCCAAAGTCCCAACAAGACGAACATGGTCCCATCTAGAGATGTACGGACAGTCCGTTGTTCCCCGGTCAGGCCGTCCGTTGTCCGAACAAAATTATTTTGCTGTCTCTGGACTCCTTATCCGGATCCTGGTCAGAGGCTTTTACTTTCGTCGGTCCAAAATCGTCAACCGCCAACCGACCCAGTTGACCGACCTGGCCCGCGCGTCGACCGATCGGTCAGCTCGGCTGGTCTGTCGGTTCGCTGGGTCGGCGGTCGGTAGGTCGGCTAAATTCCCCCGACCGAACGGAAGCCTTACCCTGGTCCCATTACCGGCTTCATTCCAATTTGGAGCTCCCAACATAATTGAGTTGACTCTGCAATAAAAAGGACCCAAAAAAATGAAATAAACTTATTTAAAAAATAAATGGAAGCCGGAATTTTCTCAGAAATCTATAAATTCCAGCTACATCCCACCCCAAGAAGAGCAAAACTGCAGGCAATGTGTTCAGGATCTAATCGACTTGTCCTTGACAAATATTGAAGTCAATTTCATGCTTCTACAAGTATCCCTCAGCCAAGCTGGCAAAAGATGTCAAGGAAAAGTTCTGGAAGCGTGTGAGAAACTAATGCAAACTCAGGCAGATCACCTGCATGACTATTATGTGAACAAGATGAAACAACATAACTATTCTGGTCGGTTAACAAAAATGCTGAAAGTTATAAGACTGCTAGAGGAGGATATAAGGAATCGAACCGAGCTGAATAAGTTGGCGAGAGTTTTCAATGTGATAAGATTGGAATTTTCACACCCAGAGATGTTTGATGTGCATTAATTAATTAATTGTTGAAATATTGATTTTCAAAATAAAATGTTCCTCTGTAAACGATAATTTAATGAACATATAGCGCTTGCTTTTTCGCTTTATACTTTCGAGCCAAAACGTCATTGAGTGAGCATGTGCTCTTTTTGCTCTTTTTCTTTCACCACCTCCGTCTTCTTCTTCTTCTTCAAGAATTTTTGCACCTTCTCCTTTTTCTCAATATTTTTTCTAACTGCCGCAAAATGTTTGAAAAATCATTTCTTTTCAGAAAATGCCCGCGCCATTATTTTTGTCAGGACCATGTGAAATTTGTGGACAGCAGACGACTGGACGACATTTTGGAGTGATGAGTTGTCGGGCGTGTGCAGCGTTTTTCAGACGAGCGGCTGGCTGGGATCGGCAAAGGACAGAATGCCCAAAAGGAAATTGTCCGATTTTTGCGGATGGGAAGTAAGTTTGAGATTTCTAATTCATAGAAAAATGTGCGAATTTTGAGAAAAACTGTTGAAGTTAAAAACATGTTTTTTTTTGAAATTTTTCACAAATTCATGTCCGTATTGACCTGCTTGTTCTGAATAACTAGTTTTCAAACGCCTATCTTGACAACTGACCAGGTAGCAATTACAAAGGTAGCAATTACAAAAGTTCAGTATTTTTAGTCATGACCTAGAATATCCAAAAAATTAGTTCACGAGCTAGAAAAATCCGAAAATTACGTCATGACCTGAAAAAATCAATAAGGTAGGTGATGCCCAAAAAAAATCCAAGAATAAGGTATGACCTAGAATATGGAAAAATTTGTTCATTCCCTACAAAATCCAAAAATTAGGTCATGAACTAGAAATCCGAGAAAATCAGGTCATGACCTAGAAACATCTAAATCCAGGTCATGACCTGATAATTCCAAAAAAATTAGGTCATGACCTAGAAAACTCAAAAATTAGGTCATGACCTAGATTATACACAAAATTAGGTCATGATAACCTGAAAATAAATTCGACAATAAAATCCAATTTTTTTAGATTTCAATGTAAAAAGTGTCGACTCCAACGATGTCTTGATGTTGGTATGGATGCTAGTAGTAAGTGTCCTTCATTGTCTCCACTTTTCAAATCCATCATTTTTTACAGAATTTCAAAGCAACCGTGATTTGATCTCATGCTCAAACAAGTTCATAAAACGGGTGGCTCTTTTTATTGGACCCTCACAAAGCCTATCCACGTTTCTAGGAAGACCAATGTTCATTTTGTGTTGTGAGCCGGATAGAGCATCTCACATTAAGACGTTTATAGATGTACAACATTTGGTGGATATCGCTAATAAGATGTTTCATCAGGTGAGATTTTCAGCGAATGATTTTGAACTATACCATAATTTTTAGGAGCCCACAATGAACGGCAGACCTTATCAATATCATAATAGTCTAGAAAAGCTATCGGTAACTCTAGATGATATGAGGTTAAAGCAGCCAGACAAGAGAATCACACAAATGACGAAAATTGGAAAAGATGAGTCGATTTTCGTCTGGGAGCAAGCCTTTTTAAGAGCGGTAGAGTGGTTCGCAAACTTTCCAGAGTTCAACGAGTTGGAGGATTTCATAAAGGTAGCCCACATTTATAATCTAGTGTTGCTTTCTAGAAAAATAATTTCAGCTAGAAATCATGAAAGCCTCTTGGATTTGCTGGACACGTCTTGAGAAACTGACAGAGACGGCAGAGTATCAACGACGTCGAATATTCTCGAATACTGTTTATATGCTGGGAAATGATACGTGTTTGGATTTTGAGAATTATGAGATTGATCTGACATGGTGCACAAATTATACACTGGAGCAGTTGGAATTGTGAGTTTTAAGCTAGATATTGTAGCAGTAGATTACATTGTGGTTGACGTTGGGTTTCAAGGTTCCTGTAAAAGGCATAAAACATTTTGTACCTGAAAAAGATGATGGTTACGGTGAGAACTTTGTCCGTTGACCATCTTTTGATATCTTTGTCGGGAGAAAAGTAAAATTGTGTACACATGTGGAGTAATACGATATCCATGACCTCATTGATCTATTTTCAGTTACATGTCCCCAGCAGTCGAACAAAACTGTCAAGGTTGTGTTCAGAATCTTGTGAACCTTGCTCCAACCAGCATTGAAGTCAACTACATGCTCCTCCAAGTCTCCTTATACCATGCTGGCAAAAAGTGTCAAGGAAAAGTTCTGGAAGCGTGTGAGAAGCTAATGCAAACCCAAGCGGATCACCTCCACGACTATTATGTGAACAAGATGAAGCAACCAAACTACTCGGCGAGATTGGCGAAGATGATGAAAATTAATAAGGGATTGAAGCGGATATGAGGGATCGAGCGGAGAGGAATCAGCTGGCTATAACGTTTAATGTGTTGAAAATCGAATTTTCTCATCCTGATATGTTTGAGGCGTCTTGAAAATAACTTGAAAATAAATTATCATTGATCATTGAAACAATTTTTGCTCTTGCTCTTTTTGATCGGAGTTGCTGTTCTTATCATATAATTTTTTTTCTCCAACAGCCTTTGTAACATCATTTCTGTTTTTTTTTTGGAATTTTTAGATTCTAAATTCATCATTTAAAATTTTATTATGCCTGCCCCATTATTCCTTTCTGGACCATGTGAAATCTGTGGTTTGCATACCACTGGCAGACATTTTGGAGTGATGAGTTGTCGAGCGTGCGCTTCATTTTTTAGACGGGCGGAAAGTTGGAAAAAAGACAAAAAACCATGTGAAACAGATGGAAGTTGTGCGATTTTTGTCAATGGAAAGTTAGTTATACCTCTCCAGCTGATATAGAAAACCATTCTAAACTTTCAGGTACCCATGCAAACCATGCAGACTACAAAAGTGCTATAAAGTTGGAATGGATTCTAGTAGTCAGTGCTGAACCTCTTTCTTCCAACTTCAAAGGTTTCAGGATTCCAAACGAATCGAGATCTGATATCAAGTTCTATGAAAAAAGTGCCAGAATCTTTGGCGACATTTCTTGGTAGACCTGCATTTATTTTGTGCTGCGAACCAGCAAAAATAGCAATCAACAAGACTTTTATAGATATGACGTATCTAGTGGATACAGCTGCAAACGTTTTTCAGAGAGTAAGGCATTTCATTAGATTTTAAGTTCATCTGGATCAATTCTTATTAGTTTTCAGCAGCCAAACAACAATTTTAGACCATTTCAATATCAAAACAGTCTAGAGAAATTGGCTCTAACTTTAGATGATATGAGGCTGAAAGCGCCAGATGAACGAATGTTAAAGATTAGAAAAATGGGAAAGGACGAATCGATTTTCATTTGGGAGCAATCATTTTTAAGAGCAGTTGAGTGGTTTGCTAGTTTTCCCGAGTTCAACAAGCTGAAAAATTATATCAAGGTAATTTAGAGTGAAGTTATATAACTTCCAGTCAAATTTCAGCTTGAAATAGTTAAAGCCGCTTGGATAGGGTGGACTCGTTTGGAAAAACTCGCAGAAACTGCTGACTATCGGAGAAAGCATGTGTTGGCTGATAAAGTGTATATGCTTGGCGATGATACATGTTTGGATTTTGGAAGTTTTGAGTTCGATTTGACCTGGTGCACTAATTATACAATGGAGCAGTTGGAATTGTGGGTTTTTCAGATTTTGAAAAACGAATTGTTACTTTTGGAGTGCGGCATGCATTTTGACCATGGGCCCTGGAGGTTTTTAAATAAATTTTGACAGTGGAATCCCAAAATATTTTCCGGTACCAGTATTTCAAAGTTTCCAGCTACATCTCACCTCAACTCGAACAATATTGCCAGCAATGTGTTCAAGACCTTGTTGAACTTGCTCCAACCAACATTGAGCTCAATTACATGCTGCTTCAAATCTCCTTATACCATGCAGGCAACAAATGTCAAGGGAAAGTTTTGGAAGCTTGCGAAAAGCTAATGCAAACTCAAGCGGATCACCTCCATGACTATTATGTGAACAAGAAAAAACAACCTTACTACTCGGTTCGATTAGCGAAGATGCTGAAAATCAATAAAGGGATCGAAGCGGATATGAGAGGTCGAGCCGAAAGGAATCAGCTGGCTAGAACGTTTAATGTGTTGAAAATCGAATTTTCACATCCTGATATGTTTGACGCTAATTGATGTTTTGAAATGGAAGTCAGCGTGTCTTATCAAATTTTTGTTACTCATCATTTGCTGGCTGATAATGTAGTTATAAACGTAGCAAAATCGATTTTTCCGGTACTTTTTATTTTATTTTATTCACACTGATCACCCCCAGCAAAATGTCCCACGCATATCAATGGTTAACGGACCGACAAAGAAATAATATCTCCCAAATTATTTTCACGTTCTCCAACAGAAACATCTATTTGTTTTTGCTCTGCCCGTCAGCAGAGGGGACCCATCACATTCGAATAGCCTATGAAAGTTTTGGAGAGGCTACATCAGTGATTTCTGAAAAAATGTATTTGGCAGTGGACAAAAATTGTGTGGATGTCTTTTGCGATGACTTGGCAATGATTATCAAGAACCAAGAGTCGGTTCTAAACATATTCCAGGCATCATTGTCATCTCGGACAATGGGAAACTTTGATGAACCTATTTCCGATACCAATGCCAATCGAATTTCTGCTAGTATTGAAAACGCTTTGAAGTCTAGATCTTCACTTTTGTGGACCAAAACTCTTTCGACATTGTTTGCAAGTGTATCACAAAGTATTTCGATGATACGGTATCTGGATCCGAAATTTCTTAAATGCGCGGATTTTTCATTTGGTGACCTCGTAGATTGTCGAGATTTAATATGTTTCAAAAAATTGGAGAATATATATCGAATATCTGTATTCTTACGGTTCAATACAGTAACTGAAGAGAATATCCACAGTTTCAATGAGGTAAATATTTTTTTCTTGTCCCTCTCCTTTAATCTATAATTTTCAGCTCCTCACATTTTCCAAAATGTTCGTCGTCATACAAATAGTTTTTGCAAAGTGTCACTACGAGAATTGGATGGAGATATTAGACCCAAAGTTCAAACGAGAAGCAAATAGAGATAAACTTATTCTCTTTTTTCATGTATGATTTTTTTCTGTCTGAGAATCTGTTAATAATCCTTTCAGGATCATTCTATCCACCGAAAATCGGCCCAAGTGGAGAGAACAGTAAGCGAAACAATGGCAAGCAAAACCGAAGCTCGGAAAATTCTGGTAAATCCGTTGGCTATGAAGTTAATACTAGAAGAACTTGACTGCTTTGATGTGTAGGTTTTCTGGAGCTTCAAACATGTTTGCTGGAGCTCAACATGATTTTTTTTTCAGACTGAAACTTCGAAAAGTGTCTTCTGGAATCCGTAACTGCATTGATGAACTGAAATCTGACCCACATGTGAAGTCATATACGATTTGTCTGGACAAACATCATCATAGTACATTAATTGAACTTACGAGTGGGGCTTACAAGGAAATCAAATATCTTCCCGTCAAAACTGGAGGATGTGTTAACAATCATTATTTCAAAAAGCTAGACGCACGAGCTCAATCATTAAAAGATGCAGAGACAATTCTGAAGAATATGAAGGCGTGTTTGGAAGAACTCCGACTTGTTTATCACTGCTTTTCAATCTATCATCTCGGAAGCAAGGATTATTTGGGCTGGTATAGTGAAAAGTTTTCTGTCGCGTTTGGAAAGATTCTGAGAAAAAGATCTACGCCTCTCAAGATCAAAAGGTTCGCGATAAGCTGCAAGTATCAGAATGAGGTGATGGCGATTCTACCACACATTGACCCACGCTCATTGAAGATTCTAGAAATTTTGTATCCTTCGAAACAAGTAAATCTGAAATTCGAAAACATTGTAAAAGTGAGGTTCGAAGTCGATCGAATATCTGAGACAAAGCAGTGGAGAAATGCGGAACAACTGATTGGCAACTATCTGATCATAACTACGCCCATTCAAAAAATCAGAATCCTTCACTTTGTCAATTTGGATGTGTTGGTGGAGTGTTTATCCACGGAAGATGTGGTTTACTTAAAAACTGTGAGTTGTTAGATAATTAAAAAAATATATTTTGGTCCCGGAAGCTAAAAATCGTTTTTATTTCAGAACCTCCTCGGGAAACCAATTTTTCAAAAGTTCCGAATATCATTTCTGACCTCTACTATCGATGAATCCCTCAATGAGCTCATTGGAGAACCGTACCGTACCGTTCCGAACATCAAAAAGGCTTGGTACTTCCGAATTCCCTACACAGAGTACTACATGCATATTGCATTGGATATTCATAATTTGATGTATGATAATGGAAATCCTAAACTGAAGGCACTGGTTATCAATAGAGTTCGCCAAGAAGACACACCATTTTAATATTACTATGATGAGCAAAAATAAAGTTATTTTTTAAGTTTAATCATTCCATACATACTTAAAAATGTGATGAAAAATTTCTTATGTTAAGAGGTTAATGGATTGAAAAATCTGAGGGGATCTAGCATAGTGTTCCCAGAGTGTTGAAAGCCGCGGAAAAAAAATTTTCCCGGCGTCGGAAGCTGACGAATGTGATGGCTGCCGAGGTGGAGTTTGGAACAAGGCCTCGATTCAGACACTGTAGATAGAAGGGATGGGTCAAAAGTGTTTTTATAATCATAAACACAATGAAAAATGTCATTCAAGCTGTTTTCCAGCATGAAATCAACAATTTTAGCCATGTGGGCGGTGATGGAAGTTTTGATGACTGAAACGCTGATTTATCCATGATCCACATAAGTCAGATGTTTGATACTTTCCCAAAAGTATGAAAATGTGCTAAGAATCGGATATCCAGCACAAGAAATAGTTCTTATAACGAAGAATGGTGATTACGGGGCCAAAACCCCAAAACGCGCTATACTTTTGACGCGGTACATTTACGATGTTTAGGTCCTAGATCGGACCGAACGCAACAAATTGAAACAAAATTTTCAGATCTGGGTTCTATTAGACGCTTGTTCGAATGGTGTGAATACATTTTTCCTATATGTTACAGGAACTCTGGAAACTCATTTTCTGAGGGAGTGCTATACTTATGACGCGCACTGTATTTTAATTGAAAAAAAAAATTCTCCAGGTGTTGAACTTGTAGGTCCACCGTTAAATGCTCAAGCACAGTCTGATACAAGCTTCAATACACAAAAAAGTTATCAACTAGTCTCTAGTTCCCTCTGTGTTGTTTGTCATCTAACCTCTTTCCAATCAAACAGACCAAACATACACCACCTTATTTTTTCTCTTTTCTCCGGGGGTTGTGAAATTGGTCAACTGATCTATGACTGCATTTTCTCTTTGTGGTCTCTTCCCGTCGCTTGTGTCTCGTTTTCTCTAACCTCTCGCCCAGTCATAAACTTTGTTTCGGCATAAACTATAGAATGGGGATTTTTAGATAAAAAGGCGCGCGTTTTCAGCGATTTATGTTAGTTTTCTTAACGATGTTCTACTTTTCTTTTGTTGTTACAAGATATCCTTTTCAATCTTCTCGAATCTCAAATTCCGAAAGAAACTCAAAATTTCAGAATCCTCATGATCTTATTCCTATTGTTCACTGGCCTAGTTGCCTATCTGTTCCATGAACTCTATTGGAAACGGAGAAACCTTCCACCCGGTCCTATTCCGATTCCACTTATCGGAAATATGCTAGGATTGGTGATGGAGAAGCCAGGGTATGAGTGTTTTAGAAGATGGACCAAAAAATATGGCGATATTTATACGTTCTGGTTGGGTGAGTTAAAGGATGTCCCATATGTATACAGGGTGGCTGAAAAGTATTGAGACACTTGTTTTTTGTTGTATTTTCAAAAATGGAGTTTCAACAAAAGAACCAGATTTATTTTTTCAACAAATGATAGTAATAGAAAAGATATCAGAGGAGATATTCGAAGTTTGAGCCTTCGGCCTTGATGCACGCCTTCAAACGAACTGGAACAGTAGCGACGGTGCGCCGGAGGTAGTCATCGTCAAGATCATCCCATGCTTTGAGCAAAGCGGCCTTCAGTGAATCCACATTTGGGTGCGATCGAGCCATCACCTTTTCCTCCAAATATCCCCAAACGGAAAAGTCGAGTGGATTCAGATCGGGCGAGGAAGCGGGCCACATGTCCTTGCCCCAGTAGCCAGGGAAATGAGCGTCGAGAACAGCTTTCGTGGATTTCGAGCCATGGGACGGGGCCCAATCTTGTTGAAGAATGAAGGGTTGCTGGCCAAAGTGGCTAGTGACCCACGGACGTAAAACATCCATCAACACCAACTTTTGGTACACATCCGAGTTGATTTTCACATTTCTATCAATGAAAACCAATGGGACTTTACCTTCCGACGTCAATCCAGCCCACACCATCACTGACTTTGGAAAAAGTCTCTTGTAGGCCAGACGACGTTTTGGGGACTTTGCTTCGTCCTTTGACAACAATTGCCGAGCATTCTGTCGGTTCGGAAGCGGCTCAACCGTAAAAATTTTCTCATCAGTCCAAATGGCTTCAGAGAGGCGGCGCACCTTGAGTGCGTCGAGCAACTTTTTCGCTTTTTCGAGCCGATTCTTCTTGGACTGTTCTGTGAGGTATTGGCCACGAAGGAGCCGATAACTGTTCAGACCCAAGTCCTTTTTCACAATGGATTGAACCGATTGTCTTGAGATTCCGAGCGATGAAGCCATTTGGTTCATGCTGACCGCATCATTTCTTGTGATTCTCTTCTTGATGATGCCACGAGTCCGGCGAGTGTTGACAGTACGAGGTCTTCCGCTTTTCTTAAGCTCCAACACATGTCCTCGATCTTTCAATTGTTGCACAACTCGATAGACAGTTGCTCTCGGAAGAAGAAGTCTTCGAGCGATGTCACCGGTGGAGATGCCGTCGTTGAACAGCTTGGCAATGGTTTGGCGATGAGGAGAAGCTCGCATAACTTCGTGAAGAGATAAAGTGATGGGAAATGGCTCTAATGTCGGCTTATATACGCTCCCTATTTTCGAAATAATACGAAACTTTTCGAAAATACGACTTGGCACGGTGCCAAGAGCCATCATAACAAGTGTCTCAATACTTTTCAGCCACCCTGTATATAAAGATATCTATTCAGGTACCACCCCATACGTCATGATTGGTACTTATGACAAGATCAAGGAGACGTTCATTCGTGATGGTGACACCTATAAGGACAAATACCCACAACCGTTCAATGAGAAGTTCCGTGGAGGCACCTATGGAATAGTCGAAACCAATGGGCATCTCTGGAGCACTCACCGGCGATTCACACTTACAAACTTCCGTGACTTCGGACTTGGAAAAGACCTAATGCAACAAAAAATTCTAATTGAAGTTGAAGAAGCCTTCCGCAAGTTCGACGAACATCTTGGAGAGGAGCAAGATGTGCCAGCTGTGGTCAATAATGCTGTTGCTAGTGTCATAAACCAAATTGTTTTCGGATATCGGTTTGATGGTGAGAAGCAAGAAGAGTTCGAAAAACTCAGGGATCTTATGGAATATCAAGAAAAGGCGTTCACCACTTTCAAGGTGCATGTACAAGTTTTTGCTCCGAAAATTGGTCAGTGGCTTCCCGGAAAATCTCTGGATGATTTGTAAGTCACCCTTCTTGGTTTTCAAAACTAGTCTTAACGAATTTCAGGCTCGGCGAATGGAAGGCAAATTTCCATACATTCTTCAACACCCAAATCGAAAACCATCGTCAAAAAATTGACTTCGATTCTGAAGAAAACTTGGATTATGCTGAAGCCTATCTCAAGGAACAGAGAAAGCAGGAAGCTGCTGGAGAGTTTGAGCTTTTCTCCAACAAGCAATTGATGAATACTTGCCTAGATTTATGGTTTGCCGGATTGTCTACAACGAATACTACTCTCAATTGGATCATTTGTTACATTATGAATACCCCAGGGGTTCAGGAAAAAATGCAAGAGGAATTGGATCGAGTGGTTGGAGGTGATAGATTGGTGGCGATGTCGGATAAAAATGAGCTTTCTTACATGAACGCAGTTATCAATGAATCCCAACGATGTGCAAATATTGTCCCAATCAATTTGTTCCATGCCACCACGAAGGATACTGTAATCAATGGGTACCCAATCAAAAAGGGTACTGGAGTGATTGCTCAGATTAGTACTGTCATGCTGGACGAGGAAACGTTTCCGGATCCGTACAAATTCAATCCAGACCGGTTCATAGATGAGGATGGAAAGCTAAAGAAGGTCGAGGAACTGTGTCCATTCTCAATCGGAAAGCGGCAATGTCTAGGGGAAGGTTTGGCTAGGATGGAGTTGTTCCTTTTTATTTCAAACATGTTCAACCGGTATAAGGTCTCCCCGTCTTCCGAAGGTCCACCATCCATAGATAAGACTGAGAAGGTGGGGGTCTTCCCAAGAAAGTTCAACGCGATACTCACTAAAAGGCATTAATTCTCTTTTGTCTTTTATTTTAATCTTTTGTGACCTGTGATCTTCAATGTACATAAATATTTTTATTTGGACTCGTAATTGGTTTTTTAATGTTGATTTACAACTCATCCACAGTTACCCATGATCTCAGGATGAGAAAACGTAATATTAAAAACATCAAAAGTCATTGCCAATTTTGACTTTTCGGCTTGTCGCCGCAAATCGTGTCTCATCAGATTGCACACCTTCATCATCTTGGTCAGCCTCGCTGAGTAGTTTGGCATGTTTCGTACAATTATATAGTAATTGTGTAGTTGATTTGAGATCAGGTCTTGAAGGTAATCGGTCATTTTGGTGACGTCACCTTGGAGTTTTTTGCCAGCTTCCTGGAGACAAACTTGAAGGAGCATGAAGTTTAGCTCGGTGGTTGTTGGGTTAAGGGTTTCAAACTCTTTGGCGATTTGACGAAACGCTTCGTTATGGAAGCAATCCATGAAGCTGAAATTGAGGATTTATAGAAGCTGCAAATAAGAAATTTGGAGTTGCAATACTAGCTAGAACTCTTAGTTAAAAGAAACGATCGTATTTGCACTAATAAAAGTTCTCCTTATACATGAACTTTGAGCTCCATTACCTCGGTTCCTAGAGAGAAATCAAAAATATGTCTACTGATATAGTGTGTCTGGATATTAAGATAAATATTTTATCAGTTGACTACTTTTTGATATCTCTGATAGGAACCAAGATACTTGAGACTATACTGCACATAAAGGGTAGGCTTCCAATAGAATGAATACAGAAACTATACTTGTACGGCTTTTTCCAGAGTAGAGCAGGGACCTTCCATTACAAGTGCCCTTTTAATAACTGGTTTTTTTGCTTTTTTCGCTTTTTTGCTTCAAAACAACTTACTATGAAACTTGCTCATATGAGTAGTTGGTGAACCATGAAACATCCACTACAGTATTCTCTGAATCCAGACAGGCCTCGTCTCCAACCACAAATAAATTATCACTCTTGAACAATTTTTTCCTCCGAAACTCGGCAGTTTTTGCTAGTTTCTCGAACCTTCCGTAAGTTTGCCATATCGATTTGACCACTTCCATCTGAACGAGAAATTAAGAAATCCAGTTTTCAAAACAGTTTTCGAATACCTGAACTGTAATCGGTAACGAGTTGAATTCACTGAAATTGGTTAGCCACTCGGCGGTGTTCAACATTTCTTGCTCCCAAATCAGAAGTGTATGGTCTTTGTTCATATGAGTGATCAATTGGAGTTCCGAGGATTTCGAAATTTTCATATTTTCAAAAGCAGCGGACATTTGTTCCAGGCTATTCATTTGCGGACTGAATGGTTTCCAGCTTCCGTTTTTCAGAATTTCAGTGGCTCGATCTAACAAATGATTGCAGTCGACAACATTCTTGGCTGGCCCCGGAGATGTTGGGTCTTGAGCGTTACAGTAGATCAAAAAATTTGGACGTCCTAGGAATGTTGCAAGCGATTGGGGAATCATTAGGGGAACTTTGACAGGAACCATAGCGGTGGATATCATGTCACGATCGAGTTGGAATTCTGAAAGATCGGAATTTCAGATTTGACTTTGAAATATTGTTATAAAAAATATTTTGTATAAACTACCGTAGAAGCCAACCCCATACGTAAATATTGAGCCCAATTATTTTACTTCATCAGTTCCTCTTCATCAGTTCAAAAAAAAAATTTAAAAAGCGATCACTTAATTTTATAATTTCACTTTTTCTGACTTTTTCATGACCCAAAACGTATTTTGAAAATTAATCAAGTTCAGGAAACACATAATTTGTCTGTGAATTTTGAATATTCCAAATAAAAAAAACTCACTAGACGCATCCATGCCCCTCTCCAGACACTTCTTCATCCGACACTTTTTACACGAGAAAAATCCATTTCTATGAATTTCCAGATTCTGTCCATGAATACAATTCAAATTCAACTTCTTCTTGGGATTCAGTGTGGCTCTTCTGAAACTTTTTTTTTCGTTCAAAAATGATGCAAATTCCAACAAATTCCTAATTCTTCACCTGAAAAACGCGGCACAGGCGCGACAGCTGAGTACACCAAAGTGATTTCCGTGAGCGGTTTGTCCGCATATTTCGCAATCGGAAACGGTCATTTTCTAAATACAAATGAAATAAAATGATGACAATAAAATAGAAAAAAAATAGAACCTGGAGGGCAGGTGTATGGAGAGAGAGACCAAGTTTTCAAGAATACGCAGGATGCGAAAGTTGGAGGAAGAGAGTGTGTCTTTTGGAGAGACGCAGAGGAAGAGAATAGGGCAAATAGAGACAGAAAATGTTATTGGAGAAGAAAGAAGAGAGAGAGAGAGAGAGACCAAATAATTCATGCGAGATGATTGATGTTGATACCAAGAAACACGGGAAAAGAGATTGATTGTGAGATTGTGAGATTCTGAGATTCTGAGATTTTGAGATTCTGAGATTGTGAGATTGTGAGATTGTGAGATTCTGAGGTTCTGAGATTCTGAGATTCTGAGATTCTGAGATTCTGAGATTCTGAGATTCTGAGATTCTGAGATTCTGAGATTCTGAGATTCTGAGATTCTGAGATTCTGAGATTCTGCAATTTTGGGATTATGAGATTCTTCGATTTTGGGATTCTGAAATTCTGAGATTCTGAGATTCTGAGATTCTGAGATTCTGAGATTCTGAGATTCTGATATTCTGAGATTCTGAGATTCTGAGATTCTGCAATTTTGGGATTATGAGATTCTTCGATTTTGGGATTCTGAAATTCTAAGATTCTAAGATTCTAAGATTCTGAAATTCTGAAATTCTGAAATTCTGAAATTCTGAAATTCTGAAATTCTGAAATTCCGAACTTCTGAAGTTCTGAAAATCTGAAATTCTGAAATTCTAAGATTCTAAAATTCTGAAATTCTAAGATTCTAAAATTCTGAAATTCTGAAATTCTGAAATTCTGAAATTCTGAAATTCTGAAATTCTGAAATTCTGAAATTCTGAAATTCTGAAATTCTGAAATTCTGAAATTCTGAAATTCTGAAATTCTGAAATTCTGAAATTCTGAAATTCTGAAATTCTGAAATTCTGAAATTCTGAAATTCTGAAATTCTGAAATTCTGAAATTCTGAAATTCTGAAATTCTGAAATTCTAAAATCCTGAAATTCTGAAGTTCTGAAATTCTGAAATTCTGAAATTCTGAAATTCTAAAATCCTGAAATTTTGAAATTCTAAAATTCTGAAATTTTGAAATTCTGAGATTTAGAAGTTTTGAAATTCGAAAAAAAAGGTGAGCATTTTTTAAAATATTCTCAAATTTCGGCTTTGTCAAGAAAGCATATCATATTTCTTTTGAGACCTTTTATATTATTCCATTGTGTTTTTGTTTTCTTTTTCTTAGGAGATTTTTTTTGGAATTAGAACTCTGAGAATACAATTTTTGAATTTCAGGTTTATTTTCGTGATTCTGGCAAATGCTCTTGTCATAAAACAAAAAAAAACTTTTTTCATAATTTTTAAATTATCACATAATCTCCTCGAACATTTCAGGTTCTGAAAATATAGGACTAAAAATGTTAAATGTTCTAGCAATTTCCAATTTCTCCTTTCTTTTCCTCATCACACCAATTAGCGAATTATTGACTTTCATCATTTTCACAACTCGTTCCGAATATCGTAGCAGACCGATTTCCGTGTAATACTCATGTAAATCATCAGCCAGAATTTTCAGTAATTTTTCAGCAACTTCAGCATATTCTCCACCCAATCGTTTTGCGGCGAAGGAGAATGAAACTTGAGCCAGCATATAATTGAATTCAATATCCGTCGGGTCCAAATCCAAAATTGGTTGGATGGTGGAAAACATGTCAACGTCTCCCACACCTTCTATGAAGCTAAAAATGATGGATTCTCATTCAAATTTTCGTTTCAAAAAACTCACTAAGATATTTGCTCCAAATTATATTTTGTCATCCATTGTAGGTCAACTTTGAAATTTTTAAAATCCACAATACAGTCATAGGTAAGCAGAACGTAGTTTAGTTTCGAATTTGTTTGATTCTTCAAAAATATGGCAGTTCGGACAAGTTTTTCCAGTCGGTTCCAGATATGCCAGATGTATTTCAAGATTTTTATCTGGGAAATTACAGAAAGTTAAATGAACCTACATATAATAGACAAGACGTGAAAGTCAGATACCGTAAAGATTCCTGTAAAAGATATCAAAAACTTGGCAACAAATAAATTGTTTATCATAATATAACCAATATTTTATCAGTGTACAAACTTTTGATATCTTTTGCAGGAACCGAGATAAATTGGATCAAAATTGAAAGTTAAGAAGCCATTCTGTTAGTGTTTACGGTTTTATTGGTACTCACCTTAATCATTGGTTGAAGATTCCGAAACTCATCGAAATAGGTCAACCACCTGGTCACAAGAAGTAGATCATGCTCCCAAAGACTGAACGATTCTTGATATCCGAAACTTGGAATCAAGGTGAATGACGATTGTTGAGATTCTCGAAGTCCAGTCAAATTCATAAAACTGGACAATTTACTTAACCGATTGCGCCCAGCTAACTTTGGGCAAGTTCTCAGAATTTTTCTTGCTTTCATCAAAAGATCGGATAAATCAACGTATGTGATATTTGAAGAATTTTGCGGATCACAGAAAAGCAAAAATTCGGGTCTTCCCACAAACATGGCTATAGATGGAGTATAGTTTTTGGATGTGTTGATAGTGTCACGATTGAATTGGAAGTCTGAAAATTGCGTTTTGCGGTAGGGCTCGTTTTAAAGTGACTCACTTTTAATATCCATCCCAATCTCTTTGCATTTTTTCAGCCGGCACTTTTTACAACATGATCTTCCGTATGAGAGGATTTCACATTTTCCATCTCCCTTCCGACATTTTATGATAAAATTTGCGCCTGCTGCCACCCGTCTGAAAATGTTCAAAATTCGAAACATCAAATTAAAATTGCCCTGTTATCAATCTACTCAATTGACCTACCATACAACTCTTAAAACCTACAGTATTGACCTACCATAACATTTGACCTACCTGAAAAATGCTGCACACGCTCGACATGTTGTTGCTCCAAAATGAATACCATGGGCTTTTAGACCACAGACTTGACAAAAAACCGGAGATGTTGGGTCGGAGAGAATTTCTGTGCAATTTTCAGAAGTCGAGGCATCCATAGTTAAAACTTTTGTGAAAAATATAGTTTTGAATGGGAAAGATCGTTCAACACATGACTTAGAGAAGGAGAAATACAAAGAGAAAAGTTGATAGAGAGAAAATAGCGAGAATCGCAGAGAAATTGTGGTCTATGCCGATAAGTAAGACATAGGACACATTTCAATTGATCGGAAAAAAGTACAAACATTTTTATTTGAAAAATATAAGTTCTAAAAATGTCGTGGATCATTTGAGGTTTTGAAGGCTGATGTGAGCAACGGAAAAGTTTCCAGTGAATTCTATGAACCTGGCAAAATCTTCAAATTCTCTATTTTTGTCAATCTTCAAGTTTGTATTAGCATCGCCTTGCCTAAATTAATAAGAATTGGATTGGGCTAATGAAGTTTCAACTTCCAACCTCTGATTTTTAAATGCATGTTTCCCATTTCCAATTTCAAAAATTCTACAAACACAGAAAAAATATTTATTCTGAACCACAAATATAAGATCTTCGAATTGTTCTTTCATTTCAAAACATGTCTTTAAACATTTCAGGGTCCGAAAACTCCACATGAAAAATATCAAACGTTCTCGCAATTGCCAATTTCTCCTTTCTCTCGAACATATTCTTCATTACTAAATTATTGATTTTCATCATTTTCAAAACACGATCCGAGTATCTGGATACACTCAATTCTCTCGTATAATAATTGTGAAGATCGTCGGCAATCAATTGGAGGAATTTTTCAGCGATTTCTGATAGCTCTCCTTGCAGGTCGCGAGTGGCAAAGGAGAATGAGATCTGTGCGAGCATATAATTTATTTCCACTTCTGTAGGATCCAATTCTAGCATTGGTTGGATGGAATGAAAAGAGGACCAGTCACCAACACCTTCAATGTAGCTGGAAAAATACAAAATTAGAAGTTCCAGCCTGAATAGAAACTTACTAGGCTATTTGTTCCACACTATAATTTGACAACCATTCTATATCCAATTTCAAATCTTTCAGGTTTATTCTAACGTCGTTCGCTTGAAAAATTGGTGTTTCATCCCATGATGGTGCAGTTTTAGATTTTAAAAACATCGTTGTCCTCCCAAGTTTTTCCAAACGATTCCACACGGACCATATAGTCTTCAGAAATGTCAGCTGGAAAAATAGAAAATCAGAACTTGAAATTTAAATAAACCAGGCAAAACTGTATACCTTCAAATCTGGTTTCAAGTCCTGAAACTCATCAAAATGTGTCAACCATTTGGCTACGGTAAGTATGTCGTGCTCCCAAAAGCTCATCGTTTCTTTGAGCCCAATCGCTGTAACTTCATGAAAATCGTCGTCAGCGCTCACAGAAAATCTCTCGATATTCGACGCGGTGGAAAGTTTACGAAGACGATTTTGACCTGAAGATCTTGGTATCTTGATGTCAGACATCAAAATCTTTGTGGCTTTATCTATAATTTCAGTGAGATCGATTTTTGTGGTTATGGAGTTTCTGGCGGTTTCCGGGTCACAAAGAATGATGAATTCTGGTCTTCCAAGATACATGGCCATTGAAGGTGTGATTTGTTTAGACGTGCTGAGTGGATCACGATCGTATTGGAAATCTGAAAAAAAAATGGGGAACACTCTAATTTCCAGGCTAAGTTTGGAACTTCATTCACTTTTTTATGCCCATTTCGGGATTTCCATAATTTTAGGATTTCGGAGAATTATAAATTTTGAACCTTTGGAATTTTTGAAATTTTGGGATTTCTGAAAATTTTCGGGATTTTCGAAATTCTGGGATTATTTAAATTTTCGGAATTTTTGATGGGATTTTCGAAATTTTCTGACTTTGGAAAATTTTTGATTTTCAAATTTCGGGATTTGTTTTTCTCTAAAAAACTAAATACAGGATTTCAATTGAAAAATGTATAATTTTTAGATTTTCGAAATCTGTCAAAATTAATATATATTTTTACTAAATCAAAAAATTATCAATAGAGCGTATTTCCAACAACAACAAAAAAACTCACTTTCAATATTCATACCCATCTCTTTGCATTTTTTCAGCCGACACTTTTTGCAACACGACCTTCCATTTGATACGATCTCACATTTTCCACCTCCTTTTCGACATTTAATTACAAAATTCGCACCCGCTGCTACTCTTCTGAAAATGTTCAAAAAAATCGAAAACTGCTTCAAATTTTTGAAATTTGACCTACCTAAAAAATGCTGCACATGCTCTGCAGGTAATTGCTCCGAAGTGAAGACCATGCGCTTTTTGGCCGCAAACTTGACAGTTTTCAATTTTCCGATGAGATTCTGAAGATTCTGGAGACGATTCTCCACCAGAAGTTGAGGTAGAAGCTGGACAATATTCTGGGGATGATTCTGCCATTCTGAATTTCGAAAAAATTGAATTCAAACGAAAGAAAAGTATAAAAATGATGAATTTGGCTGCCTGGGGGGGGGGGGCTGTGAGGTAGTACAATAAGATTAGAGATTCGTCAGAAATGGAGAATCAGAGTGCATGAGAAATAGTGAGAAGGGGAGACAGTGCGTGTCGGGAGAGGGCGCAGAGAAAGTGTGTTTTATGCCGAGGGACACGGAACCAAGGTTTGTTTTATTAGTGCATGGGTGGTTCTCAGAATAGTGACTAAGATTTGATATTCTTTTGAATATTCTGAACTCACAAAGATCACTAATTTCTCTCACCAATTTTTTTATTTTTCTCATCGTGAAAATCATTTGTAGTCGTATTACTACCCGGGTTGCATGTTTGTTGTTGTTATTAATGAATCACAGGAAATTTAAAAATAAAAAAAGGAAGTTTATACTCCGGTGAAGAATTATGACCAGAGATCTAGCACATTTTCAATACTCTGAAAATAGATCAGAAATTTAACAGTTTGTTTTTGCAAAATTTCATCTTGATGAGATATGTAGTTTGTAACCAGAAAAAAGGCAAAAATCCCAATATTTCGAAATGCAAAATTATCCAAAATCAGAAAATTCGAAAAACGCAAGGATGTTGAAAATTACAAAACTTTGAAAATTCACAGAAATTCAAAAATGCAAAATTTCTCAAGATCATAAAAACCCCAAAATTTTTCAAAATTCAAAGTTTTCCGAAATCACATAATTTAAAAAATCTCAAAATTTCAAAAAATTCACAGAAATAAGTTGTTCAAAATTTAAATACCACAAAAAATTCAATAATCCCAACATTTCAGTTTCAAATTTTCCGAAATCACATAATTTCGAAAATCCCAAAAATTTCAAAATACCCAAAAATTTTAACTCAATAACTTTCAGAAATTCCAAAGTTTCAAAAACCCACAAATTTTAGCAAATCCCAAAGTTCAATTTCAAAAACTTTTCATAACTTCAAAACACCCAAAATTTCAGAAATACCGCAAACTTCGAATATCCCAATTTTTCGAAATCTATGTTTCCAAAATCATAAAAAGAAATCAGAAATTCAAAAAATCCCCAAATTTCAGCGAATTCGAAAGTTTCGGAAACCGCAAAATTTGTCAAAATCACAAAATTAAAAAAAAAAAAACTAACTATGAGAATTGAGAAAACGCCAAAAACATCGGAAATCCGAAAAATTTCAAAAATCTAAAAAATTTCGATATATCTTTTTGTGATATCTTTTTTCTAACCATCCTTGGAAAACATTTTTTGAATCCCTTCAACACATTTATTTTCTTTCTTCTCGATAGAGCAAACTTTCTTTTCTTTATCTCCAAAGATAATTTGTCATTTTACATGACTTTGCCAGTCTCCCTTTCTTTTTCTTTTTCTTTTTCCTTTTTTTCTTTTTTTTACAATTTCCAAGTTTTCAGCACCCAAAATGTCCCAACAAATTTATAAGGCTCTACCAATTTGGCAAGAAATTCCAGAAAAATTTAAAGTGAAGATTGTGAATCTTTTAGATTTCGAGTCAAGGTCTTGTTTCCAGGATTTTCTCTTCAAAAAAAAATATTTTCAGGTTTTGCCTTCGCCAGTGTTCAGTTTCTGATAAGGAGCTGGTCGATAAATGCCAAATTATCATAAAATCAATATTCGTTGTCAATACACGTGATGATGAGATCAGCGTTGTTATCAGAGTTAAACATCCAAGGGCCTATTATTTTCATGCACTTCCAAAGACTACAAGTATGTCATGTGTTTATAAATTCACAAGAATTCCGAATGTGAAAGTTCTTAAATTTGGAATTGAATACAAGATTTTGCCATTGTTTCTGGAAAAATTGAGCGAAGACAACAAGACGAAAATGAACATTGAGATGGTGCATTTTCAAGGAGGCGATCATGCAGTGGACCGTTCGGTAATAGAATTCTTGGGTCATTTGGGAACTAATTGTAAGAAGTTCGTTTTCGACGGAATCTGTGATTCTGAAATGATGGAAAAATTGGGGAAAATGGCTCAATGGAAAAATGCAACAGGAATCTGCTTTCCGCATTGGAACATTCTGAAACTGACGCATTTTTTACATTGCAACTCGTTAAGGCTGGCAATGAAGGAGTTTGATTCGAAAGACGCGAAAATGCTGATTGAGGTGATTTTTTGAATTTTTGGGGTGTGTGTGTGTGGGTGTGTGTGGGTGTGTGTGGGTGTGTGTGGGTGTGTGTGGGTGTGTGTGGGTGTGTGTGGGTGTGTGTGGGTGTGTGTGGGTGTGTGTGGGTGTGTGTGTGTGTGGGTGTGTGTGTGGGTGTGTGTGTGGGTGTGTGTGTGGGTGTGTGTGTGGGTGTGTGTGTGTGTGTGTGTGTGGGTGTGTGTGTGGGTGTGTGTGGGTGTGTGTGGGTGTGTGTGGGTGTGTGTGGGTGTGTGGGTGAATGAGGCTCTGACGGGCAGATGACGAGCAGGCAGATAACTTGTCTCCGAAACGAGATATTCAGACAGTTTTGGTACCACATGATAGATCTCGACAGGGCTCAAAACGTCTATATCATTTCAGTTTGATTCCGGTCCATTAACATGCCGCGGGCCGGGATAGAATGGCGAAAAACCCTATTTTGGCCAAATTTGTCATTCTAGCCCGACCCGCTGCATGTCAATGAACCGGAATCCGGCTGAAATGATATAGACGTGATGGGCCCTGTCGAGATCTATCGTTTGGTACCAAAACTGTCTGTATATCTCGTTTTGGATACAAATTATCTGCCTGCCATCTGCCCGGGCCGGCCCGTTTGCAACTATGCTTTTTCAGACATTCATCCACAAAAAAGTCTTCAAGTACGACTCTACCTTTTTTCAAATTTACATCGAAACTTCTATGAACATTGAGGAAGTCTTGCTGGAAAATGACGACGACCTTAAACCCAAGTTAACCAACGCTAAGTGAGTTTTAAGACTAAATTTTGAAGATACTATAAGTTAAATTTTCAGTGAGGACAATTATCCGAGTATTCGGTTTCAAACATTTAAACTAGCCAATGATTTTCCGGATGATTTGGTTCTTGTGGTTAAGGCTGCACCGCACATGTTAACAGGATCCGTCTGTCGGCTAGGAGCACATCTTGCTGACGACTTTATGGATTCTCCTTATCTTTGAATCGGAAGTCTTGACATAAGTTCTTTGGAGAGTTGCCCGGTGCAGTTACCCCTGCTACCCTCCAACCCCTTCAAAAGGTTCCTTCTACCCACGCAACGACACTCCGCTATCCCGCCTCCGCGCGCGCACACTTTGAATTAGTTTGGAGTGATTGCGAGCTTTTGCTCTGGCTCGTAGTTTTCTAGAGACTCTTCTAAGGATTTTAAGTGAGTTTGCTTAAATTCTAAGCTTTAATTTTGTTTTTTTCTAACTTTGCTTATAATAAATCGTTATTTTCATACTTCTTGTTGATTTTCTTCTATTTTTATTCACAGGAACCTGATACCCCGGACATACCGCTTGCAATTTGGGGGCCGAACCGTTTTTTTTATTGGTTATCCATCTTTTCGTCTTTTTCGTTGTTTTCGCAGTGGTTTTTTTTTCATGTACCACTTCTTCAAAATGTTTGTTTCATGTATGAAATTTGTTTAGACGGAAAAAATGATTTCTCAAGAATGCGTCCTTCTTTCTTTCACAGAACATCATTTGCCCCCAAGCCATCAATACATTCTTTGAAACAATAAAAGTGCGCGGGAACCCCATTCAAAATAATAGGTATTCATCAGTGAACCGGTTGAGCCACGCCCACCTAAAAGTGACCTGAAAACTGAATAAAAGGGTTGGGAATTTTTTGAAGATCTTGTGAATTTTAAACTCTTGTTTTTTTTTCAAAAAAATATCCCAACATTCAGATATTCCAGGGTCCGAAAATGTCTACGAGGGTTTTTAGAGGTTCAGTAGGAAGTCTGGACGCTTTGAGTTTGGAAGATGTTGAAGAATTTCAAGAAAACGTAACTCCCAAATCTGATGAGGTTCCAGCTGTCCAACCACATCTTTTTGTTCAATTTCGCCATCCGGATGAACCTGTCACTTGGCAAACCACCCCTAATGAGATGAAAATTGTGATTGTGAAGTTCCTCGACTATCGATCTAGGTATCGTGATACCCCTTTTCTAGAAGAAATGAAAAAAACATTTTAGACAATCCCTCCGTCGTGTCTCTCGATCTGACAAACTCCTAGTGGATAATACCAAATTCCACGTCCATCCTTCGTCATCAAAGCTACCGTACTTCCCAACTTCATCTTCATTTGTTCACTTCCCAAGAATTTCGTCTTCCGGTCGTATAGTACCCAAGAACTCCCTTACAGGTTTATAAAAGCTGTGAAGATCCCAAATTTAAAAATTGAGAGGTTGGAAATTGATCAAGGAGCAATTGTGGATCTCACTGAACAATTGAAACAGACCAAACAGAGGATTACGATTAGAACTGAACTTTTTCATCTTCAAGGGAGTCCAACTTATCCTGTTGGGATCTTAGTTGTTGATTTTTTGGAGTTTCTGGATGTCAAAGATGTTCTTATTGATGGGCATTGCCCTCTAATAATTTTTGAATTGATGATTGATCTGGACCAATGGAAAAAATCTAGATCAATTACGTTCAATCATTTTAATGATCTACCAATCAACCCATTTTTACATGTGAATATTTTAAGACTGAGTTTAGAGGAAATATCAATTGAGGACGCTAGGAAAGTTATCAAGGTAAGTTAGACCCTTTTGGATTTTAGGATCCCCCAGAAATTAAAAAAATTCCATATTCCAGGTATTTGTTAACAAGAAAATCCTGAAAGCAGGAACAATATCCTTCTACATCAAGACTAAAGAACCAATCAAATTCTGGAAATTTCTCGATCATACAGATTACGAATTGAGCCAGAAACTGGCAACCCACGGGTAAGCCAAAAGAAAAAAGTGCAACTAGATATAAATTTTCAGAGCACTTCCCAGTGTTCAAGTGCTCATAATGCCAAATTCCGATAGTTTGGTGTTTCCCGTGATGGCAAAAGAGAAACTGTTTTGTGGATGTGCTTGCAAAATGGATGATAATCTTGTGGAGAATTTTAAAGAAACCCTGGGTTTATGAGATTGTTTTCTTTGCATTTTTTAGTGAATGAAACCATTTTAAAAATTAAGAAATTTTTAAAATAGACGAGACTGAATAGTTCTTTTTGGGAATTCCGGTGTATTTTGTGCCGTGAAGGTGTACAGCTCATATATGAAATCGATCGGCCGCACAACTTGTGCCATCGTAGCTCAGCTGGTAGCGACGCGGCATATTCAAAAGTGGGCTTATATTCAAAAAAATTCGAGATTCACAGAAGATTTTCGAACAAACACAAAACAAGGTTTTTGTCATGCGCTTTCAAAAATACAGTACTCTTTTTTAGTTTCATTATTTCTAGAAGTTTTAAAGTTTTCATTTTCCGGAAAGCATATTTTCCCAGGAATTCTCGTCAGTTTGGAAATTTCGAAACTTTTCGATGTTTACACTTTTCACATTGTCATGTGATACCGTGCTCCTACGATATGTCGGCCATCATTAGTTCAACTCTACAGCTCTACGCTCAATCTCAAAGCCCAAGCACATAGCTCACCTGATTTACAGTTTCCGAGACACTTGAACTTTTTTCAACGTGTTGTGCGGCTGAAATCTGTTTTCAGATCCAATATTTGCAAAAATGACTTAAGCAAACAGAAGACTCGGCCCTTTTCATTGAAACCGTCGATTTCTGAATTACACTTTTTCAGTCTACACGCACTTATAATATACTCTTATCAAAACGCTCGATGATTTTTCGAACTGATGAACCACAAAAAAACTTGGCACGCCTTTTTTTTTCTTACCTCAAACTTTTTTGTGTTCAATGCGTGTACCGTTTCAACCCGACATCACTGTTCTGTCCTTCAATAAATCACCACTCCGTTTCGTTTCCACTTTTTCGCTTCTTTTTTTTTTTAATCGAACAACCGTCCTATCTCTCCTTTTAGATCACTTTTTCCAATTAGGTCTGATAGAAACCGGCGCAAATTTAGAGAACTGGTTCCAATTTTTTTTTTACTAAACTAGACAAAATACTGTGTGTCCAGAGAAATTATGAGCGTTTTTTTCTTCTTTTTTTTTCCTTTATAGACTTTTTTCTCGTTGAAAAGTAGATTAGAGAACTGAACCAACTTTCGGTTTCGTCACAAGGTCATAGAGTACAAACAAGAGAACATCAGGACGAAAAAGGAATGGGTATATAAATTGAAGGGTGAGAGGTCAGGAAATCAAATATTTAGAATCACAGGCCCATGACTGGTTCTCAGTTGTTAATTAGACTAATTAGAGCTAATTAGCTTTTAGCTACCCCCTACCTGGGACAGGTATCCTTCTGACTCATTTACCGCGCAACGACCAGGTCATTAATTTTATCAGCCGGGTGTCCTCCTCTCCTTGATTTATGTATGCGCTCCTTCTATCTTCCGACTAAACGATTTTTTCTCATTCTCCCACGAATTTGCTTCCAATGTTTTCCAGATAGAAATACGAAAGTCTTTGAACTGTGATTCAATATTATGGAAAACGGGAAGATCGTAACTTGGCAAGACCTTCCGATGAGATTCAAAGTAGACGTCGCGACATTGTTGGATCGAGATTCCAGGTGAGTTTGGGGGATTTCAAACCCTTTCAAAGGTCACAAGGATTTAAGGAATATTACAGGCTTGATGGTTTCACAGATCTCACAATCAGGATCTTTCACATTTAAGAATTCCTTGGGAGTTAAAAAAAGGCATGGTTTTCCAGAACCTAATAATCAGAAGGTTGCGTTAGGTTTTATAGATTCATAGTGTTTCTTAAATATTGTGGATTCCATTACTGAAAGTGTCCCATGAATCCAAGGGTGGTATCAATTCTAAATCCACTGGATGCACGGGTCCTGTGAGCATAAGGGCCCCATAAATCTATATGTCCTAACATCCAAGAATACCATAAATCCAGAGTTCTATGAATCTATATGTTTAATAAATTCAAAGGTATCGTCAATTCTTAGGTCCCATGAATCCAAGGGTCTCATGAACATGAAAATACCATGGATCCAAGGGTACCATAAATCTAAGAGTCTCTTGAATCTTTAAGTCTAATGAATCCAAGGATACCATCAATTTTATGGTCCCATGGATACAAGTACACCATGACTACACGAATCCGCTCAAGGGTACCATCAATTCTAAGGTACCATTAATCGAATGGTACCATGAATCATAAAGTCACATAGGTTGAAGGATACCATGAATACTAGGGTGGCCCTTCAGATCCTATATATCCCGCGCGAATGTTAAATTTTACGAATTTTTCCAGACTCGCCTTCCAACTCACCTCCAGAGCCGAAAACGACATTGTTTCTCGTTGCCCAATCAATCTAAAATCACTTTCCATATCGAGCTTCTACTGTGGCAAACGTCCTATTCCAGAGAAACAACAATTCTCCTTCCGATACTGCGTCCAACTCCCCAATGACCGAGTAGCTGTCACTGAAAAACGTTACATCAGAGACAGGGCCGTAGAAGAATTTGTACGGATTTTCAAGCACAAAAAGACCACGGTCAAGACATTGAGACTGACTGCCGGAAGAAGAATGGATGACTTTTTGAAGAACGCTGTCACAGGAATTGTCTTATTGAAGAAGGAACAGTGCCCGAAGTTTGTTATCCGTGTGACCGAAATTGATTTTCATGGAAACTTGGTGGCCGAATTTTGTGAACTTCTTCCATTCTTTGACACTTCTATTCTGATGTCCATCAAAATTGAAGGGTACGACATTGAACCAGAGGTGGTGAGCATGTTGGTGGCCACGGAGCAGTTCAAGAAGGCTAAAAAAGTTTCCATCATGCCGCTGGTGTCAGTTCCAATTGACAACTTCCTTCATTTGAATACTTTCGAAGTGAAATTGGCGTCTGCAAAGCCGGAAGAGGTTGTGAAAGTTGTTAAGGTAGGTTAGATTTGAATTAGAAAAAAATAGTTGTGTCTTTCAGAAATTCCAAACCGAACCTCTGCCTTTGGACAGTTTTTTCGCAATTATGGCTGAGCGAGAATTGATGAAAACTTCTTAGTGGGACTTTTCGAAAAAATGAAGTTGCCAGAAAAATCGAGATATTCTATGTGAGTGAAAAATCCTAAAATTTATTTCTAAAATCTAAGACTCTGAGATTGCAAGATCTTTCCAGCTCCACCCATGACTATAACCATGTATCGAAACATGCGATACCATCAAGCGACAACGTCTTCATCCTCAAAGTTGACGCTCAATCAATTTACGGCGTTATTGTCTCTTGTGATGCTTTGAAACGCTTGAAAATGGATGTCGCTGTTTATCTGAATCTCCGTGAATTTGGTTTCAATTTTACTGATTTATAATTTAACTTATCTATGCTCTAGTTTTAAATATATATAGATCATGTTGCCCATAAATTAATTTTTTTGAATAATACAAAATATTGCTAACAGGGATCAATTTTTCGGAAAAATATTTCAGATTTCAGATTTCAGATTTCCCCATAACTCCGAATTACAAATTGCGAATCAACACTTTCAAATCTCCATTTCAGAATTCCGATTTTTGTATTCCAAAATTAAACATTTACTAATGTTGACACAAGAAGGATGAATCTTGTAGTATGCAAACAGGAAAACCGAAAAAAGATAAGGAAATTTGTATAAAGTGTTATTTGTCATCAAATTTGTCAGAATTCGAAATTCCGCAAAAAACTGAAAATGGAGTTTTGGTCAAAGTTACCTGCTATTTTCAAAAAAGATGTGATTGGAAACTTAGATTATAAATCAAGGTAATTTGTTTTTCAATTCAATCTTCAAAAAATAACTATAGATGTCGTTTACGAAAATGCTCAAAATCGGAGAAAAATCTAGTGAATAGTTGTCCGGTTATTCTGGATTCTGTGAAATTGGAACCAAGAATTGGAAACCAAATTTATTTCTCTATTGAGCAAAATGGGATTCTTCTCAACGACAAGGCAAGCGAGCCGAAATTGGTTATTCAGGATTTTCTGCTGATTTTCAAAAATCGAAAATCGGAAGTGAAGTTTTTGACGGTGGATCATTATAACTTTCAGAGACAACCAGGTTTTTTTTGAAATTTATTTACTTTTTCGTTTTCAAAAAATAATTCCAGACGTCATCAACAATCTTGTTTCTTGCTTGTTATCTGATGGAAATAATTTGAAGCTCAAGATTCAAAAATTAAAATTTCAATATGGAGAAATTGATGATAAAAGCCTTCTGAGCTTTGTGAAAGCTATGGATTCCAAAACGTTCGATTCATTGGCCATTAGAAAATTTCCAATCAAGACCCAAGCGGTTTTAGATGAATTAGTTGCTACTGAGCAATGGAAAACTTTAAAGGAGCTTCGAATTGATGAGAAAATTTCAATTCCTATCTACATTTTTTTACATCTCGAAAGCTTCAGTTTATCTTACTATTCAATGAATTCAGCAGATGTATGGAAGTGTATTGAGGTGATTTTCAATTTTTCAGAATGCTCAAAAAATATGAATTCCAGAAATTTCGATTCACTAAGCGACCTATTTTTTCATTTTTCGAAATTTTCGTAACCCGAGAATTTTCGATATTTGATATCCTATCCCATTTTGATGTTCGTCCGGAAAACGAACCTATTGGCCCTGAATAGTGGGATTTCAAAATTTAAAATTAAATTTTTTCAATTTTTCAGTGTTAATAACGCTGCTCAACATACACAGGTTTTCGAATTGTCCTGGTCCAACGAACAATTATTTGTTATGAAAATTGGGAAACGATTTTTGAGAGGAGCAATTTGTCGAAAAGATTTTTTACATAAAGATTATGAAAAACTGGAGGATTTGTGATGTTTTTTGGTTGTGAATGAAGTTTTTTTTTGAACTTAAAATGTGAATGATCTCTCAGAATTTCAAAGTTTTGGAATTTTCCGAGTTCTGAAGAGATATATCACAGAAACTCATAATCTCATAATCTGGGAATTCTAAAATTTCAGAAAAAAGAGAAATCTAAGGATCTGAGAAACTCAAAATTTCAACTGCTAGCAAATCTGAATTTTTGAATTACCGAAATTCCGAATTTCTAAACTTCTGTATTTCAGGATGTCTGAATTTCTAATTTTACGAATTCCTAATTTTTGAATTTTTGAATTTCATAATTCTAGAATTTCAACTCGGAGGAATTCAGAACTTAAAAAATTTTAGAATTTCAGAATTTCAGAATCTCGGAATCTCAGAATCTCAGAATCTCAGAATCTCAGAATCACAGAATCTCAGAATCTCAGAATCTCAGAATCTCAGAATCTCAGAATCTCAGAATCTCAGAATCACAGAATCTCAGAATCTCAGAATCTCAGAATCGCAGAATCTCAGAATCTCAGAATCTCAGAATCTCAGAATCTCAGAATCTCAGAATCTCAGAATCTCAGAATCTCAGAATCTCAGAATCTCAGAATCACAGAATCTTTGAATCTCAGAACCTTAGAATCTCACAAACACAGAACTTCGGAATCCAAAAATTTCTGTCTGCTAGAATTTTCGAACTTTGAATTTCAAAATTTCCGAACATCTAGTTTTAAGAATTTCAGCGTTTCAAAATCGCAGATTATTAGGATTCCAGGACTTCAGAATTTCATAAATTCAGAATTACAGAATATCAGAATCTAAGGATAAACATATATCAGAATCTTCACTCTCTGTTTTTATTCCACACTTCTTCTTTAAAAAAACTAGTCCCCCAGTTGCACTTTTCTCTTCCATCTCCTCAATTCGTCATCTTTTCATTGTCATGCTTTTTTGTCGTTTTCTCTGTCGTCTCCCTGGCAAATTGTCTTCTCACAATCTGCGTCTCTTTTTTTTCTCTCTATTTTCCCAATTCCGCCCGAGAACAAACAGAATTTTGGCATCGAATATCACCCATTATTTCACTTTTCCTATAAAAAATGATGGACGTTGTTTCCACTTCAACATCTCCATTTGCATGTAAAGTTTGTAATCAAGCCGCACATGGAAATCATTTTGGAGTGATCAGTTGTCGAGCGTGTGCTGCGTTTTTCAGGTCAGCGGTTGTTGTTCTCGGAAAATATAAGTCAAGAAATTCAGCGATTTCAGAAGATCAGCATCGTCGAAATGGAGCAAAATGAGCTGTCGTGGAGGATCGTGTGATCAGGAGACGTGAGTTTAGAAATGAAAAGAATATGTATTCAAATAATGATGCAAAACGTTTTTTTTCAACATTTCATAAATTTTTGTTATCATAGTCCTAAAAATCTCGAAAATTTGAAAAATTGAGATTTTTTTAATTGTTGAGAAACTGAAATACTTGAACTTTCAAATGTTTCGATTTCAACATTTCTGAAAAAATTTTCTTAAAAATAATTGAATTTACGGATTTTCAGCTATTCCTGTAAACCGTGTCGTCTACAGAAATGCAGAGACGCTGGAATGGATACCACTAGTAAGTTTATTAGGTTTTTTTCTGGTAAAATAGACAATGTGCCAAATTTCAGAATTCCAATACAACCGAGAAATCATTCCCCAAGTCGGCCAATTCACTCTCCCACCACCATCCATTGAATCCTATGTGGGTCGGCCAGAATTTCTTCTATTCTGTGATACCGATGCCCCAAACGCAAAAGTCCTAATTGACGTGAGATATCTTCTGGAAGAGGCAGGACGAATTCTGAATTACGGTCCTGAAAGTCCAGTTTTCGCTGAAAACCAATTGAAAAAGTTCACTCAAGGCTTCAAATTCATTCGACTCAATATGGAAAATCTCCAAAAAGTCGAGTACGCAGATCAAAAAGAATTAATGGAGATGTGGGAATATTACTTTCTATTGGTAACCAAGTGGTTAATGTATTTCGACGAGTTTCAGAAGCTCAATCGACATTTTCAGGTATTTAAGGGATACCGTACTTTAAAATAGTTATGCTGATTTTTAGATGACTCTCCTACAATCCATCTGGCATGTCTTTCAAAAGTTACACAAATATGTTGGCACTATGGCGTATCACAAAATGTATCCTTATGCGAAGAAATCCAATGTGATCATCAAGAATGTGTTCATGGATATGGAAAATGTTACGATTGATACAGAATGGATGAGTGATTATCCAAAAGAGCATGTAATGAGGTACGAATTGGTGAAAAAACTTCAAATAACTCAAAAATCGTTTCAGATACCTCATGGTCCAAACCTGTCACGATTTTGACATTCTGGCTGCATTACAAGAACTCGAACCTACAGAAGAGGAATATACTTTTCTATTCGCTCATCTATGCTTCCAATATGCCGGCAAAAGATACCAAGGAGACATTCTAAGAGTCACCGATTCATTTTTAGAGATCTTATCGAACGATTTGCATCATTATTATGTGGAAGAGCAAAACCGACCGAGATACTTTTTGCGACTGGCCAAACTCATGAAAATCAATAACGCTATTCAGGTGAGAGGGCATAACTACGCAGTTGTTGGCCTACAGTATAGGATAAAAATCTATCAAATTTTGACTTTTCAAGTAAAAAATTGTCAGCTTTGAAATCATGTATAATAAAAAGAATGCGGAGTTTTGAGATTTGTCTGAAAATTTTAGAGTATAATAAACAAAACAATACCTTCATTTTTGTAATTGACTATTTTTCTGTAAAAATACAACAAAGCGAGTTAAGCGGTCAAATTTTTTTCAGAAAGCAATCTGGGAGAGCCGCCCAAAAATGGAGCTGGGTCGAGTGTTCAACGTGCTCAAAATTGAATTCTCGCACCCGGAAATGTTTGAGGATTCTGGATTTTACTAATATTCCGATAACTTTTGAATTGTAAATTTTGTATATTTCCAGATCTCATTTTGTACATACATACTCGCTTTTTTTCCAAATATTGAACTCAAATAAAATTTCTACTGTACACTTTTGATACATTTTCAAAGCAGTTATATTTCTCATCATTTTTTGTCAGCTCTATTTCTAGGAATTTGAAAAACGGACACTTTTTTTTAGAAATGGCTTAAAATTCCTGCAAAATTTGTCTCCGGAAATCTCATGGAACACATTTTGAAGTCAGGTCGTGTCGAGCCTGCGCAGCCTTTTTCAGGTGCGTTCGCACTTGGGTTCACGCGAGGGGGTCAGAAAGCGCGCCCCAGTTCATGTGAGTGTTTTGAAAATCGCAGTTTTGTGGAAACATGTTTTTTACAGAGGTTCCCAGCGACGGTGCGAAGATTCGAACGTTTCTATACGGACCACGAGCCGACGATCAAGCTTCGTTTTGGTTTTCCGTCTTCGTAAAGGAATCATCGATTTATCGCTCCGTCAGCTCGCTCAGAAGTACAGCAGAATGGGCTACCATCGTTTCCCACCACGTGCCATCAACTGCAGGAATAAGAAGTGCGGACACTCGAACGATCTCCGCATCAAGAAGAAGCTGAAGTAATCTTCGTTCGCCTTCGTTCATCTGTCAATAAATCTGTGATTTTAAAACGAAGCGAAGGATATCACTTCGATGGTGGATGTGAGTAAACTTTGATGAGCCATTATAACCCTGACATAACATTTGGATAAAATTTGTAGGAATACTATCTCATATATATTTCGGATGTCATGTCCTTAGGTGATATTGAATGCATTGAGGTTCTTCCATAATTATTAATTGTTCATTAGAAGCAATTCAATAATTCGTTCTATTTTCAGAGCAACCAGAATCCGGTATCCGATTGCGAAGACAACAACGACACAAGCTGTGCACATGAGAAGTCGGATGGATCATCGTGAGAAGTCGCATGGATCAAATGGGTTTAATAATAATTGTTATCTCTCTTGTTATATGTCATGAATTTCAATAAATGGTCATATATTGCCTTGCCCTTCCTCGGGCAATTTAGGGAGAACAGCAACATAAATGGAGCAGTATTCGCCGAAAAAAAAAACGAATTCATAGCCTTCTGTATCGTTAAAAAAACATTAGAAACAACCACGTGAAATCCACGTGTCATTTTGAATTAGTTAATTTCGGCTGGCCTACGAGTTAGCTGGGGCGAGCTTTCTGACCCCCTCGCCTGAACCCACGTGCGTTCGGACAGCTTTTTTGGCGCGAAATTTAAAATTTTCAGAAGATATGCAAATTCCGAATTTATAAATGTAAAATGCTGTAGGAGGCCTGGAAATAATGAAAAGTAAATTTAAACATTTTTGGATTAAATTTTAAAATTGTTTCGATTTTTCTTTCAGATGTCTGTGTAGACCATGTCGGCTTCGGAAGTGTCTAAAATTTGGAATGACAACTAAAAGTTTGTTTTTTTTTTCAATTTTTTTGAACATTGATTTTCCTAGAATTCCAATATGGAAATCAATTGATTCCGACAAGTCCATCTTCCTACCTTGGCCGCCCGGAATTTTTGATGTTCTGTGATCCCAGACCTTCTAATTTGATAACATTCATTGATGTACACAAATTGATATCTGAAGCGTTACGTCTTCTAAATTCCGGATGCGAATCTCCATTAATCGCGGAGACTCAGTTAGAGAAGTTGAGTCTTGGCGTTAATTTTCTGAAACTGGACTCTGAAAATATGAAATTTTTCCGAAAATTCGGGCGGGTCGAATTCATAGATGTCGTTGAGTATTATTTCATATCAGTGATAAAATGGATAATGCGTTTTGACAAGTTTCAGCTTTTGGAAAGAGATGTTCAGGTATGCTACCGTGTAGCTGGGAAAGGAAACTGAATTGTTGGATTCCAGATGAAACTTCTGAATTCCATTTGGCACGTCTTCATGAAGTTCCACACTTGCTCATCAACCGCAACATTTCGAAGAGTGTACAAAAACTCAAAACCTTATAAGAAATTCTTTCGGAATGTTTGTATGGACAAGGATCGCGCAAGTTTTGATACCACATGGATTAGCGATCTGCCAAAGGAATATGCTAGTATGTGAGTATCAGGGTTTTGTAAGATTTCGAATTTTGGGAAGTATCCTATTGTCTTTGCCATTGAATCCTATGTGGGTCGGCCAGAATTTCTTCTATTCTGTGATACCGATGCCCCAAACGCAAAAGTCCTAATTGACGTGAGATATCTTCTGGAAGAGGCAGGACGAATTCTGAATTACGGTCCTGAAAGTCCAGTTTTCGCTGAAAACCAATTGAAAAAGTTCACTCAAGGCTTCAAATTCATTCGACTCAATATGGAAAATCTCCAAAAAGTCGAGTACGCAGATCAAA